ATAACTATAATGAAATGTATCCTTAATTAAATTTCTGTGCAGTGTAAAGACGATCCTTAGTATTTCATATCAATAATAATTTTTTCTTGCATTATAAGCAAATTACCATTTCTTATCAATATATTCAGTGATTTCTTGATAGTAAAAACTTAATAAAGGGGAGTAATCAAATATTGAATCCGCCTTTAGATTGGTTATATTGGATCTTGAAACTCGAATTTCGAATCTCGTATTTCGAAACTCGAATCTCGAATGAGCCTTCTGGGCTTTCGTATATTTGTCCTAAGTTGACCTGCATATTACATAGTCCACAAAAACTTCATGATAACAAAGTACGTATATGTTTATGTTTTTTTCAAATCCGGATCTTTTTGTTCGCTAAACAAATCCAATCTATTCAAACATTATGTTACGTTACATATAATATATCTATATCTATATCTATATCTATATATATATATATATATATATATATACACACACAAGATACAAGATATTTTATTTACCAATCAAGGGCCCCGAGAGGCATTTCCACATATATAAATGCACAATTTAAACATAATTCACAATATACATTGTTTATATATATATAAATACATGTATGTATATAAACAGTTACATAAACAGTTATATAATATTGTATTCAGCGTTAATAATCATAGACAATACCAGTGTCAAGTGTCCAAATTATTGTCATTGATCCCAAGACAATACAAATATGTTATGCTACAACTTGTTCATACATGTATTTATACATTTGTATGGTTTTTTTTCCCCTTTAAAATTGTAATATATTTCAGAAAAAAATACAATAAAGTAAAATTGAAGAAAAAGGCATGCATGTACATGATGACAGATGTATTTATACATTGGTTCTTTTACCATTTTCAGACATAAATTTTCCAAGTAAGCATAAAATTTCTTTATTTTCATTATTCAAAATCCATACAAGTTTTTCAGCAGATGTCAAAGAAGAGAAATTTGGGTTGATTTTTGAAATTGTTTCCATTAATTGCAACCTTTCATTCTTATATTTTGGACATATAAGCAAAAAATGCTGTTCATCTTCAACCTCCTGCATATTACATTGAGAACACTTTCTAGATTCGGGGGGAAGTCCTGCATATCTTCCCCTTTCAATATTTAATTGATGTGCAGAAATGCGTAGTTTAGTTACATTTTTCCTCTGATCATAGTTATTGATAATGTTTAGATAGTGCTCTCTTCCAAAGTTGTTTTTGAAAGTGGAATAAGTTCTTAGTTTGCCATTATTTTGCTCTTTATTTTCTTTATTACCATAGGTTTATAAAATACTGTCTTATAATACATGATGACTTCTTTTTAAATGAATAATATATATATGGAGAAAATTACGCAAGAATACGATGTCGCTTTTTCCTTATAACGAAATACGGTTTTAGCATAGAAAGATTGATATTAACTCTTAATTATTTTATATGATTTTTTTTTTCTATATTTTCCAGGGAAAATGTAAAAAATGTTATATTTGCAAATAAGATGTTCTAGAGTTTGATATTTATCATTAATAAATGCATTATATAAACATCTAATAAACCATGCCAAGAATAGTTATGTAGACATTTAAAATCTTTAATAAGAATAATTTATGAATGTAAAAAATATAATTTGTTATTATCTTTAAACCTATCGTTAAAATCACCAAGAAAAAAGTTACCTATCGAAAAGAAATATCAGGCAATTGTAAATTTCAGAAACCGTTCGTTTCTTGTCGTTTTTAACACCATTACGCAATCACAATGCCTGCAAATCGTTTATTACTCTAGTTATGTAGAACCAAAAATGTGATTATTGAACAAAATCTAAGAATTACAATCCTCACTGTCACAATTATGCCTACAGAGGAAGATTAATTACTTCAGTTTTCACATTAAGATAAATCACGTGTCATTAAATCTCGAAAACGGAAAATTATAAAGAACATGCAGCGCCTCCGTCGTCAGCCGTGCATCATTTATAAACCAACAGTAACATATTGATATCTTTCGAATCAAGAATTTGAAGTCTGAGAAACAATCCCTATTGCAAAATGGAAGACATGCAAAATAAATAATCCAATTCATGTTATAAATGTGGAGATAACGAACAGTGATCAGTCTCAAAAATCCATTTAAAAAAAATATAAATTATGAGCACAGACAATACGGACCTCTAAAAACTGAGGCGAAATCAGGTGCCTTGGAGGAGTAAGTATCCCCTGTCGATCGGCCACGCCCGCCATGTGCTCGATTCTCGTCATGGATTGACCAGGTAAATGGAAAAATCCGTAGACAATACAGTGAGAAAATAATGACCTTACAATTTGCATGAAAGAGTCAGTCAATATTCGACTTAACGATAGATTGTATTTACTAACAAGGTCATTGTATCGGCCGTAGAATGTTGACTTTTGTTGATATCCTTGTATCGTCAACTTATTTGACAATAGCCTGTCTCGTCTAAGAAATCATGAAGAAAATGCTCCTGCATATTGAATCAACTGGGAGACATATACTCCATATGCAGGTGATAGTTGTAGAATGCTACATAAATAAGGTAAGTTGACAATAGAATTGAAGTCATCATGTTTATCATAAAATTTAGTTGTCAGTTGGCATCAATGTCTTTCTCCAGTAAAATATCCGAATATGAAACAAATGTTTTAGACTTTGATCTGTCTTTATTTGGATTTCAGTTGGATATATCGAATGAGGGTAGGAATGAAACTGGATGAATATTGTTAATTGATAAAACGTCGTAGATATATTTAATGTCGAATTGAGGGCTACAGCGAGAGACTTCTTTTCATTTAGAGGTTTTTGAATAAGAATACAGAATGAGAAACTCAAGCATCTTTTTAATATTAATTTTGGAGTACTTCAAACTGCTTGCGTGTAGAATCAGAATGCCTTTTAACAAATTTGAAGGTCTATTATTCATCGTGGGTTGTATATAGTGTTGAAAAGTATGTTCTGATGCTATTGTTTTTGGTAAAATATTGTGACTTCAAAATTTCTGTAAGTTCCTGAAGATTTTAAGGATCCACATGTGATTAACACCACTTCTCGAATATGTCGTGGTACAATAATCCTGAAGTTTCAACTTCTTTGTGAGGATCGAAGAAAAAGGCTTGGTAGAACATTTAATTGGACCCGCTTTGTATCTTTGTAGAGATTTTTGGGAAGTTTTGGAATCTAGTATAGATATGGTAATTCAAATTTAATTTGGTTGTTGGGAATATTAAAAAAATCTAAGCTAAAAATGATTTTTAAAAAATTCCTCCCTAGAAAGGGAACTATGAATAAAATTTGGATTACTCTTTGTAGAATTAAAGGTTCCTCTAAAATGCAATTGTAATAGTGAGCCTATGTTGTTACCTGCTTTGTCAGTTGGAACCAGTACATATTGATCGTGTAATCTCTTCTTATTCTTTTTTCACTTCTGAATTATTGAAGACAGAAGGATAGATGGTTTTCATATTGCCCCTCAACCGTTTAACACGAAATTTCAACGTCCATCTTATACCTTTAATTCATTCTGACAAAGTATCAAGGTCTTCTCCTTCATATTTGATTCATCGTCTGGCATAATCCATAATGGCATAATCTTCGACAGAATTCATAATGTTTATGAAATTCATATTATAAGTGTCAAGAAAAATTCCATTACAAAATGCTAGTATGCGATAGTGAAAATTGGTAAATTTCTTGGGAATTGCAATTACTTTTTGTTTAGAAAAGGAACAACAAGGTACACTGGAGGAAATCTTGTATTACAATACAATACAAATGATATAAGTATTATTTAGAGAACTCGACAGGTACTGTATCATAGATACAAATTTGGGGGTGGACGAGTGCGTAGCACGAGTCTCCACCCCCAAATTTGTATCTATGATACAGAACCTGTCGAGTTCTCTAAATGATTTGTGACACGATCAATCAAAAAAACAAAAAAGCACCGCCCACTTCATACCTGTGCAGCATCCAAACTTCCGCCAGAGTTCGTTTGTTCTTTCTGTAGATGAGGCCTCGACGGGGAGTATACATCCGCAGTATATATATTTCCACGGACAACGTAAGATTTAGTCAGATTATTTTTGACAAGGGGGTAGACGTAACAGACTCGAAGTCAGTCTTAATTGATAAGGTGGACGATTTAACCTTGTTGTAGATGGAGATTGATCCTTATTTATTTCAGGGGTCTTAAAATCTCGGTTAACTATAGATACACATTCAGGCGATACAGACAGTTTTTCGATGGACTTTGATGTTACGATTTTTATTTTCTTATTGAAATGCGACATAAAAACGAAGTGAAAGAGATGTGCGGCAGTCGTCAGCGATAAGGATTTAAGATGAAATTAGAAAAAAACAACTGAAAAATGGACTTGATTGAGTTTGCACGAGAAGAGTGGAAAATGGGGGGAGGGGGAGTGCGAATTTCACGTAATGTATGCTGCATCCGCGAACCCATTGGCTTTACTATTTTGAAGGGGACACAAAAAGCAGGGAAAGCAAACAGGTTTTCAGGAATTTCTCCAACATAGAATGTTTTCCATAATTGCGAATTTTCCTTTTCGTTTGGATCGAAAGATTCTGTGTGGAATAATTTTTTTAAAAGTGATTGAGAAATTTTGACATTTTACATTCCTAAGGAAATATTTCTTCAAATTTATAATAGGAAAAAAAATCAGCATTTACTATTTGTACGTGCTTTTGATAAATTGAATCAGATTTATTTTTAGACCGTGCTGTATTTTAGATACAGAACAGTTGGCTAATACAAGACAGTATACAGGGCTAGTAGCTCCGCCCACTGTATTTCCGTTCTGTATTGCTAATACAGAACAGCAAACTTCAAAGAAAAACACCGCAATCGTGTCACAATCTTGTATTACAATGCAATACAAATGATATAACCTTGTATTACAATTACAAATGATATAATCTTGTATTACAATACAATACAAATGATATAATCTTACATTACAATACAATACAAATGATATAATCTTGTATTACAATACAATACAAATGATATAATCTTGTATTACAATACAAATGATATAATCTCGTATTACAATACAATACAAATTATATAATCTTGTATTACAATACAATACAAATGATATATAATCTCACTGTATTCTGACAAATATTAGCCTCTGTTTTATTTTTGTAACGTTCGTCCTCAGCTTTTATGACCGAATCTAAAAATTATCTAGGGCAAAACAACTACAATTCTATTACGTATTAGAAATATAAAATTGGAAAATTTTCATGTATGAAATAATATTAATAATCATAAGTGTTTATGCTTTTAGGCGAAAATATTAAGGATCGAAAATTTTCCATGATCCAGTAATTCGTCTGGATAGTTGCTCCTATAGTTCTTCAATTTTAAAGAGCTTACGCTTTTCAGTTTGTTTAAATATGAAAATTTTTATTGTTCCCGTTTGCTGTATAAATGAAAAAGTTCCTCAATATAAATCATCATAGCTGCTTTAACTACAGAATATGAGTGAAATAGTCTGATATTTTGCACGGCTCTATGTCTGAAACAGTTTTCTTATTATCGATGATAATTGTAATAAAGAGAGTTTTTTTTAACTATTTCGGCTCAATATTTTTGAAATGATCAAAGAGGACATTGACAAAAGAATTATGTGCAAAATGTAACCGGAAATGACGTAAGAATTGTTACAGCCATCCTCAAAGCACAGTATGTAACAAGTTTGCTTGTTGGCTGTCATGGTGTCGTTGACACAACCTTCCCTGTTAACTTTAGGATCCAAGGTGGAACAACTACGAACGAACGCCGTCTGTCGGCCTGAAATATCACATTGATAAAAATTAAAATAATGTATAAACTTAATGTGTCACAGAACGTAAAAGGTTTGATAATTTACGAAAGATTTGTTCTCGATGCTTAATTTCAAGCCTTGCACTGTTTTGTGACCAACAAGAAGGCTTGGAATTTTGCAGTAGTATTTGTATTTTGCGATTCAGATTAGGTAAATTTAGATTAATTGTTTTATGTTGTTAAACGTCCATTCGAGAATTTTTTCACTTATATAGAGATATCAACACATACCGGTGAAGGGCTTCAAATTTAGACGTATACTCGGCACTCAGGGTCATTGATAAGTAAGGGTTCTTTATCGTGCTAACGCCTACTGTGACACGGGACCTCGGTTATCCAGTGCCGGGCGCTTGGCGAAGGAGCAGTCACTACCTATGTTAAAGTCTTAGGTTTGACGCGGCGCGGCCAACAAGAATCGAACCCGGGCCTCCCGATCACGCCCTACCACTAGGTTACCGTGACCGAGACCGATAGCTATATATTGAAGAGTGGCTTGTGTTTCCGAAACACTTCAAACGAGTAAGAGCAGACACAAGAATTGTGGTTATACAAAAACAAAACTATTCAGTGATCTACAAGATTTGTTGTGCCTGTTTCACGTTAACTCTGGTTCAGATTTACTGCTTTGAATCTTAAAATGTCTCAGCGGAATAAAACTCTGTCTCTGTTTATGATCTTCCTAATTTGAGTAATATAGCATTTGTATTCAATTCAAATTGTCATATTGTCATAGTTATGGTTTCTAACATGCTCTCACGGTTATAATAAGAAAATGTATTTAAATGCACAGAACTAGTAGGAGTTGTGAACGGCCATGAACAATCTTACTTAACAATTAAGAACATACAAATCGTTATCGAGATTGCAATCCGGTTCTTTGATCAGTTCATCAGTAAAGAGGGCGGCCATGTTGAAATTATGTCAGCATCACTTCGGGAAATGTTTGTTCTAATCTCCTGAATTACCAAGCAACTTTTACGGATGATAATCTAAATACCTCCAAGCCAATCAAAAACCACTTCGGCCATACTGGATCTCAGATCTTAGACATCAACATTTCCTTTTTGATGAAAGGATCTGTTTGAAAAGCCTAATGGATGGGTCTCTTTTGCTGATATGAGAAATCGAGTGTATCTCAGTGACTTAGGAGGCGTGAAAATAAGATATAGCGCTTCTAACCAACAGTGTACTCTTGAAGTTCTGGTTACTTGACAAGCAGTCCTAGAATATTTATAAGTCAAACTTCGATGATATTTAACTTAAGTATAAAGCTTATTCTCGGGGGAAATTCTACTACCCTAAGTTCATCGAAAATCAAATATGAGGTGGGAAGATAATATATATGTAAATAAAATTTTTCCACAGATTCCCCCTGCATAATTAGTATTGCCTATACATGTATCTTTAAATTTACCGTCAGAAAACACCTACAATGGAGTTGTCTGAATAGAGAAATCTGACTGATTTATTAATCTTTGACGTCATATTTACATAGATCTGTGCAATGTGGTAAAAATTTAAAAAAAAAAAACTTCGCTAATTTGGGGGGATCGGACTTCAATATCGACGATAATCAAGATTGTCATTTTAAACGAACTATGGCAATCAGAAGTGAAAAAGTTATTCACTATTCACTCACAACATCACTTTTCTAATCCGAATCGTAAACCAGTGTGTACACACAGATCACGTGCTACCATAAGCTTGATGGCTTCTATATGTTGAATGAATCGTAAACTTATAGAGCACCAAATTAACATATTCCCAAATAATTTTAGACATTTTTAATTATTTGAAGATATCATCAATCCATTTGATCGTGCCACATTCAGTTAACGATCTCTTCATTTAATTCAGTTGTTGATATCGTTGATATCTAGTTCAGTTGCTGAATTGATGCTTGCAATAATTAATTAGTTTGTAGCTCTTTCCCAATAAATTACGCAATAATTCAATTAAAGACAGCAATAATTCAAAAAATGCAAGCAAAACTAAATCGTTGCTATGTTTGATTTAATGATATCGTTAATTCAATGAATGCGCGCAACACTTCCTTTTCAGAGAGAGAGAGAGAGAGCGACTTTTGATTAGTGATATCTTTAAATTAAGATATCCATAGCTGGAAAAAATCTCTTCAATTGAATTGTTGCTCTTTTTAAAAGTAAATGTGTGGATTAATTCCTCCGACAAAGTAGGTAAAAAATAATATTAAAGATAATTATCTTCAGTTGAATTAAAAAGATCATTCCTGGGTCTCATTCAATTTTTGCGAGCAATGAATCCAAATTGCATTTTAGAGATCAACAGTTGAATTTATGTGCGCGTTAATTGAATTGATAAGAGATGCGTGAATCAAATCATTGTTCTCATCAACTGAATTGATGAGAGCAATATTTGATTTGATGCGAGCATTGATTGAATTTTTGCATACAATAATGAAATTAATGATATCTTTAAATAAGCCTAATCAAAGATATCTTCCATAATTTGAGTTTCTGTTAATTTTACGCTCCATAAATATGAGTGGTGTACAAGATATATACCTGCTATCAATAAATTTATTGTTTTGCTTAAATTTCACTTTTAAAGTATAAATTAATTTAAATAAAATTTAAAGAAATTCTGTTTTAAGATGAATTGTATAGTAATTACTTTGAATACACGTAAATTCTTTAACAGACTTTCTACCTTGATAACAGAATGCTGATGCTAATATTACAGAAACAGTGTATTGTGATGGTGTGTTGTTAATATATATATATATATATATATATATATATATATATATATATATATATATATATATATATATATATATATATATATATATATATGAAAAATTATAGAATACAAAAATACAAATAAAAATTATTCAATACAAATAAAAAATATACAAAACAAATGGAAACTTATTGAATACAAATAAAAAAAATTACAATGCAAATGAAAAAATATAGAATACAAATAAAAATTTTACAATGCAAATAAAAAATATACGTAAAAGATCTGTTTACAACAGAAGGTATGAAAGATATTACGGATGTAAAAGAGATCATTGAATCAAAGAGTAAATACTTATGTGAATATCTAATAATGAAAAAAACAATTAAAAAGCTAAACATAGATTACTGTAATGTAAAAAACACTAATATACAAAAACCCTATTTTTATTTCCAAGGAAAAAGTAGAAACCCAGATTTTGAAAAATCAGGATTTTATTATAAAATTCTACTTTCTAAAAAGAAGCAAAGACCAATAATGGAAACGAAGTGGTCAAAAGAATTCAATATAACAAATGGTCAATGGAAAAATATTTATACAGCTAAGATACTAAATGTATTCGATAAACAGATAGCAGAATTCAATTTTAAACTTTTACATAATCAGCTGAATTGTAATTATAATGTAAGTAAATGGAATAAAAAGGTGGGGAAAAATTGTACAAGTTGATTTTAGAATGTACGGATACAAAAAGATTATGGGAAAAAATATCAAAAATATTGAAATTAAATATATCCTGGAAAAATATTGTTGTAGGATTTTTTAATGAGTTTAATGAAACAACAAAAATTTTTAATAATGTCATATCAATTGTAGGTTACAAAATATACGAGTATAAAATGAAATGTAGATTACAAAATGAAAATGTAAATGCACATGCAATGTTATCTTTTTTTAAAATCATCATTATATCAGTATTATTTAATAGCAAAGGATGCAAAAAGTGTTAAATTAAATTACCATCTTTTAAAAAAGTTAGCTGACCAAATATGATTTTCTTTGTGATTATATGTATTTTGAGAAGTATATAAATTAAGTATAGATATTTCATCTATAATACTTATTTTATTTACAAAAAATATCATACAATGATATATAAGCATATGTATAGAAATGAAATGTCAACAATGATATGTATACGTACATGTATTTTTTTTTCATTTAATGTATATAATTTTGTAAATTAAATATTATAATAAAAATACCGATCCAGGGAGCTCCTGGCACCCCAGGTGAGGTATATACAGAGGGCTTCTGCGGAAGTTTTGCCTCGATATTTTGTTGTATGTTAATGAAAATAAATATATTATTCATTAAAAAAAATATTGAATACAAATGGAAAATTTTACAATACAAATGGAAAATTATACAATACAAATGGGAAAAGATCAAATATTGCAACGTTTGACATGCCTCAGATTTGTTGATCTCTTTAATTCATTTGAAGATTTTTAATTATTTTAAAACGTCCTTGTTACAGGAATTAATGCGCGCATCATTTGTTTTAAAGGGAGTAACAATTCAATTGAAGAACTATGGATATGTTGAATTGAATATAACATTTATTAAATGGTTGCAGATCTAATTCATTAAATGGTTGCTCTCTCTAAAAGAATGTTGCGCATATTAATTTAGTTAATGACATGGTAACATAATTTAGTTATTGTGCACATTGCTTCATGAGTGCACAATTATTCAATTGAAAATTTCATTATTGCGCGTATATAAATTGAATTACTGCTCTCTTCAAATGAATTACTTTGCACATCAATTCAACTGATTTATCATATTTGAAGACAGCATCAAATCAGCAAATTTAACAATGATATCAAAACCTAAACTAATGCGCACAATAATTCAAAAGTGAAGTTATCATTACCTATTTAAAAAGATCTTTAATTGAATTGTTATGCGCATCAAATGAAATGATGATATTTTCAAATGATTAAAGATATCTTCAAGTAACATCTTCAATTATTTGAGTTAATGTTATATTGGCGCTTCATAGAAGTGTACAGGTGACACTTTCCACTTACCATTAACATATATCCTGGTTATGAGGCAGCCATTTCGTTTGCTTGTCCTCTCTAAACAATCAGAAGGGTTTGGCGGGTTGCTTTCACACTGTGGATCGCGCTTTGAGTCACACTGAGCACAAAGAGTCGTTGAATCTGGAATGAAAACGATGGAATTCAACACATAATGCTTTGATTTAAACATATTTTATTGATACATGATTAATTGGATTGGACACAAGTTTTTCCAACTCAAATTGTCTTCTCAAATACAAAGAAAATCAATAATAAGTACACGTGATGTACAAAACCAGCATAAATACGTTTAAAGCGCAAGAAGTAAAAGGGAAAAAGAGAGAGCAAAGAAAATTGAAAAGAAAAGGGGGAAAAGAGTGCAACGAAAAGGGGAAAAAGAGAGTAACGAAAAGTGGAAAGAGAGTGCAAAGAAAAGGGGAGAGAGAGTGCAAAGAAAAGGGGAAAAGAGAGTGCAACTAAAAAGAGAAGGGGTGCAAAGAAAAGGGAATAGAGAGTGCAAAGAAAAGGGGGAAAGAGCGTGCAAAGAAAAGGAAGAGAACGGAGTAGCAGAAAATGAGAATGGTTACGCTGATCATGATTATGTTATGCCATTAAAAGAGAAATTAACTTTCTTTTTTAACTAACCAATGACAGATAGTTCTTGCAAACTGCAATTGCAATGTAGAGAAAAGTCGTGAGTTTATGTACAGCCCAATAAATAAATAAAAAGATAAATATTTTAAAATAAATAAATTTATGAGTAAATAAATAGAGGATATTCAATGTTTTGTAGATTAATATGGAATTTATTTCACGAGTGGGACTGGATTTTTTTTTTATATTTTCACGAGTGCGAAACACGATTGAAAATATCAAAAAATCCTGTCTCACGAGTGAAATAAATTCCATATTTATCTACAAAACATTAAATTTTCTGTTTATTACATTTTCTTTGATTTTCCCTTTGACTCTGTCTTTTCGTAACAGGGTGTCATAGGCTGTGGCGTCATAGTTGAGCGGTTGAGACGTCATATGATAGCTATAAGCGATTGCGAGATTGAAAAACGGATTTTTAACAACATATTTGGAGAAACTTTGGCGGTCTTAGTCTCTATCAAGGCGGTTTAGTTACTATCTCTATCTTATGACAGGTCAGAAATTTTTTTACCTACTTTGATATCCTTTCACACTGTGAGAGAATATCACTTTGGTATCCTTTCACACTGTGAGAGAATATCACTTTTATTCAATATATAAATCACAGTATTTCACTGTTGAAAATGTAATAAATAAGCAAATTCAAGGAATTGTGGCCCCTATCCACACAACGTCAGGGGTCTTGAGTCAACACGTTGCCGTTGGGCCCCTGAAAAATTTTCATTCGATATCTTGCGGGCTGACTGCAGCGACGTCTTTCGGGAAAATTACAAAATTATTAGTCTTGATCTTTTTTCTTATCTCTCAACCAACAACTATGCGTAACACGTGCACTTTAGGTATCAACTGATTCCTTTCTATTTACATTATCTGTCTGCTTTAATTTGATTGATGCTTCTCAATGAGAGAAGCAAGCACGAAGATATCAATTGAAATTTGTCAGGGATCCAACGGCAAGTGTTGACGGCAAGTGGTGTTGTCATAGGTAATGTACATATAAAAATATGAAGGTCCTATTTTCTCTCATTCCAAAAGTTATCAGCAATGTTAAAATTTTTGAAAATTAGGTCAAACTTCAAGGTCAAAGGGTCAAATATATCACATTCGGAAATTTTTTTGACACTTAATGCACTGGTCAAATATGAACGCCCTATCATCTCTCATTCAAAAGTAATCACCAATGCTAATTTTTTTTTGAAAATTAGAACAAACATGAAAGTCAAGGTCACGTGGTCAAAAATCATAGCATGTTTGGAAATGTTGTTACAGGTAATGCACAAGTCAAATATGAAAGCCTTATCTATTCTCATTCAAAATTTTAAGCAATGTTAATTTTTTGGAAAAGTAGATCAAACTTCAAGGTCAAGGTAAAAGGGTAAAAAATCATAGTATATTTTGAAAGGTCTTACCACAGGTAATGTATATGTGAAATATGAAAGCCCTATTTCTTCTCATTCAGAAATTATAACCAATGATTTTTTTTGGGAAAATTAGGTCAAGCTTCAATGTCAAGGTCACAGGGTCAAAAATCATAAAATGTTTGGTCTTGTCACAGGTAATGTACATGTAAAATATGAAAGCCTTATCTCTTCTCATTCAAAAGTTATGACCAAGGTAAAAGTTTGGTATCATTTTTGAAAAGTAGTTCAAAACTTCAAGGTCAAGGTCACAGGTAGAAAATCACAGTATGTTTGAAAAAGTCTTGTCCCAGGTAATGTATTTGTGGATTATGAAAGCCCTATCTCTTCTCTCTCTTCACTTTGTTAAACCAAGTTTAACCTTGGTCATAACTTTCGAATGAGAAGAGACATGGCTTTCATATTTCACATGACATTACCTGTGACAAGACCTTTCGAGTTATACTATAATTTTGACCCCGTGACCTTGATTTTGAAGTTTGACCTACTTTTCAAAAACCTTAACATTAAACTGGTCATACCTTTTTTGAATGAGAAAAGATAAGGCTTTCATATCACACAAGTACATTACATGTGACAAGACCTTTCCAAATATATTATACTCGTATATATAATATGATTTTTGACCCCGTGACCTTGACGTACTTTTCAAAAAGTGTATCTTTGCTTATAACTTTTGATTGAGAAGAGATAGTGCTTTCATGTTTGACATGTGCATTACCTGTGACAAGAGTCACAAGACCTTTCCAAATATACCATGAAATATACTATGAATTTTTACCCCTTGACCTTTAAGTTTGACCAACTTTTCAAAATTTTTTACATTACTTTGAATTCATTATAAAATTTGAATGAGAAATCACAGGCCCGTAGGAAGCAATTTCAGGTTTTTTTTTTTTTTTGGGGGGGGGGGGGGGGGGGTACAGCCACACATTTTCAGTTGAGGGGGCACTACCAAAAATTTCCTGACAAGCAAAACAAAACAAAAAAAATAATTAAAAAAAAATATAATAAAAAAAATAAAAAAAAAGATCATCAACTACCAAATATTCCTTGACAAGCAAAAAAAAAAAAAAAAAGGTCATCAGACGTTTTTATTGAGGGGGCACAAGCATATCTAAGTTTACTATAGTAATCTATATATCGGCAAAATTATTGGAGGCACGCCCCCCCCCCCCCCCCCGGTTCCTACGGCCATGAATCAAAAGGTCTTGTCACAGGTAATGAACATATGTAATATTTCTCATTCACCCCCCTCCTCCCTAAGGGTTTAAAAATGAGGCTCTTTTATTTAATCTTTTATCAATACTGAGCTTTACCATCTCAGTCAGATGCCTGTGAAATGAATACTCTGTCTTTTCTGGAGGTGACAAATGAAGTGATTTCTAAGAATCAATACACGTCATCTACCGTACAAGATTACAGCCTCTACGTTAGGAATTAGCGCCCATTCCTTAATTCGAGTAGAAGAAATGAGTGAATCTAATTAAGACAAAGGACTGGTGAGGTTTTCTAATTAGATCTGATGTACAGAAAATCGACCAAATCGGTCACATCCATTTGGTTGATGAGGCATTTTAAATTCTGTCCAAAGAATCTGTACAGCTAATAATGATATTTTTTCCCTTGAAGTATATTTTTTCCATATTGGAACCATCAGTAACAGCTGCATCAGAACTTTACATGAACCGAAAAGGGGGAAGCAAACTAGAAAAAGTCAAAATTGAGTATGATTCTTGAAAGTGCTGCTAAAATGTTCGGAGGATCGATATATGATACAGAGACCCTATAAGAAATACTTGATCAAACTGTAAGTGTTTCTAAAAGGTCTGAAATTTTACAGAACGTAATGAATAAATAGCAAAAATTCAGAAAAAAAACTATAAGAAATACATTAAGTCAGAAAATGTTATACTGACAAGTTACAGGAGAAAAATGCAACAGTTTGAAAGAAAAGGGGGGGGGAATCAGAAACAGAAAGAGGATGTCCAAAACATTCAAAATAATCGCCTCCCAAAAATTGAAACAAAAAATATTGCATACTCTATATTGCATTCTTTGATTCCTTGTAACAATTAATTGTGGCACGGAAAAAAAGAGTATTCTGGGAAGAGAAGCAATAAAATTAGCTCCGTGGTAGCTTCTAAAACTCTCCATTTAGTTGTCATGCGATTTCCCATTAGATACTTCTATCTCATAAAGCACAATCACCACTCAACTGTGATACAGCACGTCATAAATACAAGAGGCTCAGGAGCTTCGACGCTCACGTACAGAACATCGTGTGAGAATTATATCTTGACTTATTATTATTATTCACAATAGTCACTGTAGCTTCTTTGAGAAATTTCTCTGTAACAGAATCGCAAAAAATAAATAAATAAATAAATAAAAAAAATCCTAGAAAAAAAAATACTTCCCCTTCTGATGACCTTGACATTTTCCAAATAATCTCAGCCAGAGCAGTGAAAAAAAAACACGAATAAAAAAAATGTGCTTAAGAATAAGAAAATACATTTTCATTTATAACAGCTTTGCTCGAACTCCAGACCCTGTTTCCTGAATCTCTAATTAATGAAAAAGGGCTTATTGTTTCATTTACTCATTTAAGGACGGATTCTTCTTATACTTATTGTATTCAAAATTAATGAAATTTTTACAGATTCAAGAAGAAAATATCATTAAGTGATAGCATCAATTAGATTTGGCCGTTTTATTTTAGGAACAAGTTCAGGTCAAGGTCATTAGATTTCCCTTGACATTTAGATTAAAAAAACTATTGTTTGCCAGTCATGTGATCCCCCCTTCTATTTCAAAAGATTAAATGGGTTTTTTTTTGCATAAAAAGATGATACTACAGAAGGTCTATCAGATGATACCACCAAACTGAGATAGATAATTTAACCAAATAGATAATGACAAACACGAATTTCCTCTATTTTTATGCCCCCGTATCGAAGATTCGGGGGCATATAGTTTTTGCCCTGTCCGTCCGTCTGTTTGTCTGTTTGTCCGCACAACTTTAACATTGCCTAGAACTTTTGATTGGTTGGAGCTATGGCTTTCATATTTCACATGTGTATTCCTTGTGACAAGACCTTTCTTTGGGTACCACCATATTTGACCTTTTGACCTAACCTTGGAGTTTGACCCAGTTTTGCAAAATTTTACCCAACTTTAACCTTGGCCATAACTTTTGAACAATTGGTGCTAGGGTTTTCATACTTCATATGTGTAATCTTTGTGACAAAACCTTTCTTTGGATACCAACAACTTTGACCCTTTGACCTTGGAGATTGACCTACTTTTGAAAAACTTTAATCTTGGCCATAACTTTTGAACCGTTGGTACTAAGGCTTTCATTCTTCACATATGTAATCCTTGTGACAAGACCTTCCTTTGGATACCAACAACTTTGACCCTTTGACCTTGGAGTTTGACCTACTTTTGGAAAACTGTAACCTTGGCCATAACTTTTGAACCGTTGGTGCTAGGGCTTTCATAATTCATATAAGTAATCCTTGTGACAAGACCTTCCTTTGAATACCAACAATTGTAATCCATTGACCTTGACCTTGGAGTTTGGCCTACTTTTGAAAAACTTAAACCGAGGTCATAACTTTTAAACGATTGATGCTTCAGCTTTCATATTTCACCAGTATATTTGTTGTGAGAAGGCCTTTTCTTAGGCACCATTAATTTTGACCAATTGACCTTGACTTTAACCTTTTCCATATCTATTCAATGGTTGCTGCTAGGGCTCTCATATTTCACAGGTATATTCCTCGAGACAAGACCTTACTTTGGGTACCAGCATATTTGGTTTGCATTTGAGATAGTTTAACCTTTGCTATAAGTTGCCATTCGGGGCATTAGTGTTTCACAAACACATCTTGTTCTTAAATTTTTAGGAAATATTAGTTATTTTTATAAGCTTCGTATATTTTAAATTTTCTTATTTTTACATATGGTGAAGTAGTCGTGCATAGATACAAAAATTAATGATATACCCCCCCCCCCTCCCCAAATGACCGTTTCATTAGAGAGAAAGTATTTTATACTGATTTTTTTTAATTCTTGCTCAATTTGTTCTTAAATTGAAGTCTTTCAAAAACAAAGAAGAATGTCGCTTGTTTTGATATGATTTAAAAGTTAAGTACATAATTAATAATTTCAGTTACTTCAATTTTTTTAAAGCCTTTGATTGTTTAAAATTGACAACTAATTCATTCTTCTGTAGTAATTCTGAGAAGCAGAAAAGGAGATTATTACACAGGCCGCCAAGCTTTATAAATAAACAAGTATATGGTAAGTTTGAAACAATAAACTACAAAGTTGTGGCAATGATATGGACGCAATATAAGATCATTTGAGTCGACATTAAAAAAAAATCCCTATTGTATTATAGAATCCAGAATTAGGGTTCTTTTCCTAATCCGCGAATTAAATCAATTTTCGCTCTCGTCAATTCAAAAGATGCGCGCATAAATTCGATTTTTGAGGTTTAGTTTACTTTTCAAGACAAAGAAAGTCTGATAAAAGCGACCATGGGAAGATCTAAAGCTCAAAGATTGCTATAATCTGTTGTTGTTTTTTAAGTAAATTGATAAAATCAATCTCTCCAAAATCTATTTAATTCTAGCCTTAAAAAACCAATATAGTATAAAATTTGTGAATGAATCAAATTTAAATTTAAAAGTTCAATTAAATCATTCAAGCCTAAGTCAACTTAAAGTATGGAAGACATCAGTAAGAATTTTAAATCTACTCACCTGTTATATGGCACAGAAAACCCACAAATATAAAAATGATCCCTGTCCATCTCGTCACATGAGCCATTGTCTTAAGGCATTACAAATTTGTCAAATTTACTAGGATCTACTAAAAATTCGAGGCTGATGATAATAAAGAAGTCAACAGTATCGTATTTTTGTTTGGGTCTATCCGAGACAATCTGAATAATATTTCCGTCCAATCAGGGCTTTGAAATTTACGTTCTTTTCAGAAGTTTCTTCCTCTTGAGATTTTGAGTGAGTTTCATACTATTGATATTTCATATTTACATTCATTGAGAATTTCCCGTGAGTAATAAGGCTGCTGGTACCGTGATTTTCCTAGATGTAAAGACCGCGGACCCACATCTGGTTAACGACCAATCTAATTATAAGCTTACTTTTGTATGGCGAGGGACGGCAATGACGGCCTGACGTATTAGGCAGCTAAAGATCACCACTTCTCACTATAAAAGCTTATTACTTCAATAATGCCAGTCAGTTCGGGATAAGGAATAAAATTAATTCACATACTATGCAAGAAAATATCATATCTTGCTTTAACTAAATACCGACCTTGCATTTGTAATCCCATGTTGGTTGATCTTTGTGAACAATCAGTCTGAAGACAGTTCCTTGACACTGTAATTATTGAAAAAATATTTATGTTTGCACAAACTCTCTCTCTCTCACTCTCTCTTTATATAAACACTATTAAAATTACCCACAGGCCCGTAGAATGCTAAGGGGGGGGGGGGGGCGCCCCCCCCCACTTTTTTTCTAAGTATAGTTTTTGCTATTATAATAGTAAATTTTCCGTTAGATGCTGATCCCCCCCTTTTGATGTTGTAAGGTCGAGCACAGGTTAATTCAAGGATTTGGACAGTAAATTAGGGTTTGGTTGTTTTTTTTTAATTTAGCTTGTCAGATAATTTTGGGAAGTTGCCCCCCCCCCCCCTCCCCCAAGTTTTGGTCAGTGTAGTTTTTTTTTTTTTTTTTTTTTTTTTTTTTGCTTGTCAGATTTTTTTGAGAACATTTACCCCCCCCCCCCCACTTTTGAAACCGTTGCTTCGCCTGTGTGGCGCAGTGGTTAGAGCGTCTGCTCTAGAGTCGCGGAGTAAGGAGCTGAAAGCATTAGTGCAAGATACCAGAGGAGGGTATTTCCTGTATAATAATATTGGATATTATTTGAATTGCTGATATCACATTTTTGGTATTTGTTTCTGTTTTAAGACATTTTGAAAATATTTTAAAATCACAAGATAATACTGAGTATAAATATTTTTATATATTTTACAGCAAGGTACGTGATAAGATATTCCTGGAACCTCTCGTTCTGACCTTAATAATTAGATTAATAAATCAATTGAAATAAAAGGAAACTCTTTAATAATACTTTAACGCTTTTTACCCTTTACGAGGGTTGTCCCAAAAAGTCGTAAACAGGGAAAAGAATTTATTTTCTCTTTGCTAAATTAAATTTCTTTTCTTGTCATAATAAAAAACAACATTTTATGATCACGAGTTTCAAGTTTGATGATAATAATTCAATTAATAAGAAAGTAATGTAGAAATGAAGAAAGCATGCAAGTGTACATCGGCGCACGAAAGCAAGCGTGATGTACGTCTCATAACGTCATGCATTACACGCATTCGCAGCAAACTCAATTCTAACAACACTGAAAATTATGACACCAATCCTCCGTCTCTGCTGCCATTTATGTGAAAATTTGACATATTACTAAGATTTCGTTTCTGGTTTCACTGATATAAATTTGAGTTTTATGTTCTGCATATTACTAGAAAAACAAATGAAATTGGAATAGTAACATACGTAAATTATTACCATGAAAGATATTTATTTAAGAATTCACTCTTTAAAGGAACATTGAATAAATTATGGCTATGGAAAATTTGGTTTGTATGGGTTGAATGTTTACAAAGTTATAAACATTGTCTACGACTTTATGGGACAACCCTCGTATATTGGTGAACTTTTTATGTACATGTATTTAAGACAACCGACGGAAAATCGAAAAATGGTGTGTGTGTGTGTGTTTCAAGAAATATAAAAGTATATTTATTACGCAATTCTGCGATTCTCGGAAGGGGGGTACTCCATGTATATTGTGTTATTATTATACTATGGTTAAAAATTTTATTACAGAAACAAACGCCTGTTATTACGGCTCCAACCCTCACTGGATTGGAGACAAGGTGTTTGCCATAGTAATCCATAAGGTCACTTCTTTTGAACCCAACGGAATGGCCTAAAATTCAATACTATGTTACCATGGCGTTTGGTGTATCAGAGTGAAAGTATTACTTAATGGTCAAGGTCACTGGTCAATGAAATATTGAAAACTCTGTTCGGGATACAAGTTTGGAAGGACTGACCTTGTTGTTGAAAACTTAACATACTAGTAATGCTGATGTAACGTCAGAACAGATCAATTCACTGATTGAAATTTACATTCGTATCCAGCCTATATCTTTATAATCTTAGAATAGAATGGTTGCTGAGCATGTAAATAATGCCGTGATTTTCTCACAAGATAATATCTCACAGTTCAAGGACACAGGCCGATGATACTATGTACTGAAAAATCGCAGCATTATCTTTTGTTCCCTGCATTTTAACCTTTCGGATAGTGCTGCCAATGTCCAAAGTTAGATTTGACCTCGACTCAAAATTATATCTCAAAGATCGAAGGCAATATTTTTATGACCATTGATTTAAGAACAATTACTTTTAAATTGTTACCACTAGCATTGGAGATGACCTCCTCAGTGTGAATTCCATCAAGGTCAAATAATGCTAAGGGTATGGTTCTTTCTCAGTGAAAAAAGAAATGTATTTGTACTGACAATTGCAAACTTTTCTTATTTGATAATCATAAGGAAAATGCATCGTTTATATAACGTATATATGTAGGATTTTTATAAGCGAAGTTGAAACTATCAATTAATTTTTGCAAACACTGATAAAACATCTGCTACATTTGTTGATAGAATTTTCTTTTTAAATACATGTTTTATTTATTTATTTATTTTGCAATTACTAGACAATATTGAATCTATTAAATCATTGGAACAACTCAATTTTTTGTTTCTCTAGAACCCCATCGCAAAATGTTTGTTTTATAACTTCTATATACATTTTCAGTTAATTGGCAAAAATCTATAATAAGAAATGGTACAAAACTAAAATAAAATATTTTTTGTTTGTATGAAAAGGTCTAATGTGGTAGCCTTTCTAATAAAATGACCAAAACCCTTACAATGTACAGACGACATTTTCTAAGCAGTACCAAAGCCTTAAAAATGTTCAGACATATTGGACAGAATACCAAAACCCTTACAACACACAGACATATTTGACAGAGTACCAAAACCCTTACAATTTAAACAAATATTGGACAGAGATACAAAACCTCACCATTTATAATTATACTGGATAGAGTCACAAAACCTTACAATGTACAGACCTATACATTGGACAAAATACTAAAACCCTTATCAAAATGTACTGACATATTGGACGGAGTACCAAAACCCTAACAATGTACAGATATATTGGACGGCAAGTGCAAAATTCGTCTTCATGTTTCCACCAAGACAGCTATACACGTATTATCTTTATGCAGTAACCAAATCATAATATCACTCTACAGTATATTAAACTGGTGTGATTGAGCTTGAGACAGCCAAACTCTCCTCACTAACACCCACTCCACACCGCAGCAAGTAAGTAAACGCTTTCCGGAACATCGCATTTTTCAGTCCGAATATAACCCAGTTCAGCCCCGAGTTGACCAGTCCCATTACAGATAGAAATTTTCTGATGGTCATCATTGTTGTGTTGTTCTCAAGAAATAGTGTGTCAAATATCACAACGATTAGATACGGACCCCAGCAGATGGCAAAGGCTCCCAGTAGAAGAATCATAATTTTGGTCTTTCTGTATGACTTGCTGGTAATCCTATGGCGGTCGCCGTGACGCTGGATAGGCTTGTCACAAATTTTAAACTGTCTCCATGCTGTTTTCACGACCTTAATGTACATAAAAAAGTTTACCACTATAGATGACGTGAAATAGATGAACATGATGCTCTTGAAAGCCTTTGGCCAAATCCACAATATATCACAAGGCACATTCTCTTCCCATTGGTTCCAACCGAGAAGTGGAAGCGAGGCAAGTAATATTGACAACAACCAGCACATCACAATTACTGTCGATAAGGATTTCCAAGTACATATCGCAGCGTGATGTAAAGGATGGACTACAGCGATGTATCGCTCCAATGATATTGCAAAGAGGTTCATAACGGATGCTCCGAGAAGCATATCGGACAGGGAGTGGCGGATCAAGCAGAAATACTTTTGTCGAGCAAGTTCTGGGTTAGATAGAAAGACAAGGTCATAAGGAATAAGGACAAGACCGATAAGAAGATCCGATACGGCAAGGTTTCCAACCAAAATATAAATTCGTTTACGGAGACGATGAAACCTCAGCAGACTAATGATGATTAGGAGGTTTCCAACGATGATCGGACCGATGATACTACACTCCACAACAAAATAGGTCTTGACCAAGGATTCGTAAGGAATATGCGTTATATTCCTCCACTCCTCGACTGCCGTCATCTTGTTGCCAATCCAGCGTAGAAATAATCAAATTCCTAAGTTGTCATGATTAATATCATTAATTGCAAGGTATCGATTCCATCAAAGATACTTGTAAAATGAGGCATGTTTACAGTGAAGTTTTAGAGACAATTACGGTATTGTGGCTGAAGGCATGCAATCAGTAATAATGGACATCATCCGCTGTTCCCTGTCATAACAAACGCGTTGGGAGAGCATTTTAATTGATACGCTACATAACGTATGTGTGGGCCATGGACAAGGTGTCAGTGGGTGGCAGTTGTAACAGTTGGTTTTAAAATTAAAATGAACTTATAACATAGACTAGAATATGTTAATAACAAGTCTATAAACCTAGATGAATTACATGCGTCTGACAAGAAACCCAACGAAAATAACATAATTGTATTGCATTTGAAGTGTTTGTTTTTCTTCATGTGTTTGATGGTGTCTGTATTCCCAGAAGATTCTTTATATGATAATCTTTGTCAATTCAAACTTTATTTCAGAACTCTGATTGCCTTGGGGAATGTTCTCTGTGATATAGAGCGTCACATGACCGATAATAGCTTTATAAAACTCATTGCCGCAAGGTTTCGCTAGTGACTGGGAACGAACGATGGCTGCTTGTGGTCCAGAGGCCAAGAGGTCAGAAATCTACTGGGTTTTGATACGTTTCTGACGATGATCAGGAATTTAATTACATGTCATTATAGCCTGGGACTCTGGATATTGACCCAGGTACTGACTAGAATTCGAAACTATCTTAGTAAAGAGGATTCGCCGAATTTGGAGGTCTGGTGCCAATCTTGAGAGACCTTGTGATACAGCTTAATTACTCCCTCGCCGAATCCTGAAGATAAATAATGAATCACACCAGTCTAACAAAATTCATATGCTTAAAATATGGCCCAACAAATTTTCAGCCAGCATCCGTTGGCCATAGACCTTGCCCTAATCACATTGATCTAACTTGTTGATAAATATGCAATAACATTAAAGCCCAGGTTTCATATACATAATGGTTTTCTCATTTCTTTTAACAAAGTAAAGCATTTTTGATTTGATTTAAAAATTTTGATTCGAAGAAGATATATTTCGGATAAGAGAAATTCTGATTTCATGATAAAAGGTCGCAGTAGCAGAATCGACAGAATCGGTCAAAACTTTGTCAACACTGGTCTACATCAGGGGGATTTTTACGAGTGTAAACGATATCTGAGGTAGCTACCTGAACATACAGTACTACACCTCACGGTACAGAGACTTTTTCATGTGCGGATCTAGAGGGGGGGTTCGGACCCCCCCCCCCCTGGAATTTATAAAAAGTATATACTGAAGCAAATAAAAAATGACCTTGGACCCCCCCCCCCGGAAAACGTTGACTCCACCCTCGCCACCATGAAATAGGTGTTTTTCACGTTTGGAACATGGAATTTACCTAAGAAATTTTCTTAGTTTATTGCGTTTGGGATGGGAATTTAGTTTTTTATTTTGTTTGTCAAGAAATTTTTGGGTTAGAATTTTTTTTGACTGGGATGCCCCCCCCCCCCCCCCGGAAAAAAAATTCCTGGATCCGCGCCTGTTTTTTTACGCTTCCCTACCAAACATTTATATCACACACGTTTTGCTGTAAAAACAATGTGTTCTGCGATATTGTATCTGACTGAACCATGGTATTAAAGTCATTAATATTTGCATTTTTTCTCCTTGTACTCCCAAATTTATCATAAATAAATGAATTTAAAAAAATTGGCTATGATAAATTTTCTGATACTCGGAACACTCACTTGTGACACTACAGTAAAACTCGGTTATAAGGAACTCTAACGGTTGATTCGATCAAGAACATATTCTACGTAAGAACAAATTCTAAACCAAGGCAGGCTACTGACAAATAAGTTGATAATGAAGAGTATTGACATTTTTTTGTTTAAAGTCAACATTTTTTCAATTTCTATGGTTGATACAATGACCTTGTTAGGTAACTTGAGTCACTCAGGTAACTTCTGATATCTGTTTTTGTCCATCTTCGTGCGTCACCCGTCGTTTTTTAGCATTTGAACATTTTCAGCTTTTTCTCTGGAACCGCTGAGCCATTTTCAACCAATTTGGGCATATGACATCTATGGATGAAGGGAAATAAAAATTTTGAATTTCAAGATCCCCTGGGGCCTGAGGGGTGAGGTTAAAGTCATCAAAATTAATGTCTCTTTCAAAATTCTTAAATTCATTGCCCCTAGGCCAGAGGTTCTGGTGTTAGGTCGGGGCTCTTGATTATATAGTGAAAATGCGCAAATTCTTTGAAAATCTTAATCTTTGTATTAAGCAAACAAGCAAAGTGCAAGATTATGATGAACAAAGGGTGCCTCTTTCAAAATTGTTAAATTCATGGCCCCGTGGTCAGGGATTTTGCATGGTGTTAGGACTGTGCTCTCTTCTGCGCTCTCTTGATCACATAGTAAAAATGCATAAATTATTTGAAAATCCTCCGTTTACCCGATCAAAAAATCAGTCAATATTGGAAACAGATTGCTCCATGGCACTTGATCCCACTTCTTATGTTTTTTGGGGTCTGTGTTTACCCTAAATCTGTATTGTTTGATTGGACTTTTGAGCATGATCTTCACATTCCATTTACCTACATTTGGATATCAAAGCGACAAAGGTGGGGGGATCTAAGGAGGGTGACGCTTTTTAGTTAAAATCTAAAACAGAACAAAATCAATCAAAAAGAGAAATATTCCTAGTCAGGGATTCACAGCAATAGCTAGTCAATAAAAAAAAAAGAAAAAAAAGAATATCTATTGTTGATGTGTATGATTCAATAACCAAGCGTTGAACGCTAATTCAACTGAGAGTATTGCATTAGCAATACTAGTCCCCTACCGGCAAGTGTAATCTGGTTCCCGTTAAAAAGTGAAAATGCCATAATTCCGTCAAAAGTCAAAGAAGAGGAACGAAATGCAGACTTGATCTATAACTCATCAAGGTAAAGTCACATACCAAAAATCAGCTCAATATCTGCAAGCATTTAGAGAAAAATTGCAGAAAACCCCGAAAAATTGAAAAGGTCATAATTCCGTCAAAAATCATTGAAGCGGAACGAAGTGCAAACTTGATCTGTAACTCATCAAGATACACTCACATACCAAAAACCAGCTCGATATCTGCAAGGGTTTAGAAAAAGTGTGGAAAACCAAGTGGGACAGACTGACAGACAGACAGAGGGACAGCTAGACAGCTAGACGGACGGAGAGACTCAGAGGAAACCTATAGTCCCCTCCGGTTTCCCCGGTAGGGGACTAATAATCGCCTGCTCCCAGGCTAGCTTCTATTCCTCAGAAAGGCCAAATAAAAGGAACTTTTCACTTTTTATTGTCTCCACTTGTCTTGGACTCTTTCCTGAAATAAAATTATAAACAATGTATTAGACAAGCTTTTTAGTGTCATGTTTTCTCATTATGAAGTTTCAGCGGCTAATGTAAATATTCTGCTATATTTTTCCACTTATTTTTAATACCAATACACCACTTATCTAAAATAGTATTAATATTTCATCTGTTCTGTTTTAGATTTCTTTCCGTTAAATTTATACACAGCATTGTATTTTATTTGAACGGGTTCTTACACTAACATTCATAAAATAAGCAGAAACAGCAAAGTTGAAAAAAAAAAATGAACATTGCCTTTCTGATATGGCATTGCTAAGACAATCTGTGTTTGAGAGAAATTTGTATATACGCCAAATACAGCAGGCTAATATAGAGGCCGTGTGTACCATTATTTGTTGTTCTAGACTGATATTGATGTTAGAAAAATGGCTAAATGGTTCTGTAATAGATCTAAAAGCCTTTTAACAAATTTCTAAGCCCCTAACGTTTTAGCAACCCATTTATCCTCTCAACATAAATTTGTTACCATGGAGTCCTTATTACATAATTTTCCTCGCTATATTTCTGTTTATACATACATGTACTTACAAGTGACCTAGCGCTTCCAAGCAGGCATACATACAAGGGAAAAAAGAATGCAAAAGCTAGAAACACATAAAATGTGGGTTCCCAGTGCATGCAATCCGCATTTTATCTGCTCTAGATAAAATGCACTCAGTTTTTATCAGAAGTTGAACTACGGGTATTTGTGGACAGGACCCTTTGAGACTTAATTTTTGTCCAAGTCATGTTAATAATGTGTTCCGTGTGATAATTCTGGGAAACTCTTAAACGATTACCCTAAACAAAATATACACAGTAACCGATTGTTCAAAGATAGATCGTCTGTGTACAGGTGTATATTTTTAATAGATCCGTTCATATAAAATGCATTGTAAATATATCAGAAAAATAATTTTTCATAAAATAGAAAACAGCTCAGAGTGTATACATGGGAGTTGTGAAGAACTTGTAATCGGACCCAGGTATACAACAAGATGTCCGCTCAGATATTATAGGATTTAGTACCCTACCCTCCCCTCCCACCCTCTCTACCTCTGCAACACTGATAGGTTCTGTGTAAACGAGTGTATTGCACACCTGATTACTTTTATTTATTTACATTTGCAAATATTTTTCTTAGATGAACCTATAGAAGAGAAAATATGTTCAATTCTGTATGAACTTATTTGGGGGTCAGAGGTCATGGCGTGACCGAATCACACAGCGAGACGATATCTTGTCTACATATTTCTGTCACAGTGACACTGGTTTCGGAACTTCTGAACCGTCAAAGCGATGAAAAAGATAAAATTATTGAAACATATATTTTTTTTTCGTTCAACAAATGATCGTTACATCTTTCTTCGGTGTGAAGAATGTTTCTAATTAGCCTAAAATCACGCTTACCTTTTTAACCCGAAATTCCTTTGAAGGTATGTAAACTGAAGACGATAGCACCGCTTTTGACTTTATATATAAAGAACTCGTACAATAATAGTAAGATAATTCCCAGTAGCTATCATTGTTTTTTCATTATGAACAGATATTTCCTGAACTGGACTGCTAAACATCAATGTAAGTATTCAAATGTTGGAGCGAGGCGAACTCTCAAGACCAAACAACTTCTAGGTCATTGCGCGTCACAACATAGCAATACGGCGGGCCGTTCGTGTAATAAATGCAGTTCTATTCAGAATATTCGTCTCAAATGTAAATAAAAGTAATAAACAACAATGTTAAAAAGTTCACTGGGAAATGAACTTGGTTGGTACGTGATCAAATCTTCTGAGAAGCCCTTCGGGCTTCACAGGATTTGATCACGTGACCAACCAAGTTCATTTCCCAGAGAACTTTTTAACATTGTTGTTTATTTCTTATGTAATTTGTCCAACGGACAGTGGTAAGCATTCCAAAAGTATCACTATAGAATAGAATAGAATAGAATAGAATTTATTTGCCAATCATGGTCCCACTGGGGACATAACATAGATACAAGCATAATTTGTAACACTCAAGAGGACAAAAAAAATACATGAACATACAGCAATACAGAACATAAAAATACTAGATGTTGAGTCTAAGCAAAACAGAGTTGATGAATAATTTCAATTATCTCCCTTACACCAGGAAGCCATATATGGCATTACAATTGAGTCCCTAAACTACAAAATATTTCAAGGGACAGTGCTCTAGGAAATACATTTCTCGCATTATTTTATCCAAAATAACGGCTTGCCATCACCATTGAAAAAATTATATTTTTAATTTAGCATCCTATTAAAAATCTGTAAACACCATCAAATAAATCGTACCTTAAAATGGTTTACACAGTATGTGTAAACTCAGAAAATGAATTTCAGTCCACTTAAATCATTCTGAATTAAATAAACTGGATTTAAAAAAAAAAACGATAGTGTAACATTTTAGTAGACTGGTACCCTGACATTGGTTAACGGGCGCAAGCGCCCTGAAAAACCAACGACAGGTAACCACTGCCATTTTATCGCGTCACAGGAAACAACAATGATGACGAGAATCTATATTTAAACTAGCGTAAATCCATAGTGCTTGTTATAAACAAACCTTCTTTCTGCACTCCACACTGCTGTTAACAAAGAAAGTAGACGGATTTTAACCATCTAAAACCGTTACGAAGTGCTGCCTTAAAAATCATTGGCAAGCGACATCATATGCCTTATTTAAATAACTCAAATGTGTGATTATTGACTTGCATATTTGCCATTCACCCATTGGTGTGGTAAATCATTGATTCCACTACGACACAAGATGTTCTTTTCCATCATTTATTTTATGTTTTCAAGTTTACACGGAATGATAGCGTTTAACTCGCCGCTCCATACTCCATAAATCACTGTTTATTTATGTGTTTATGCGTCAGGATCGCAATGTTAACACTATTGCTGTTAATTCCTAGCGGCAGCGACTGGAATCAAGGGCAGAGAACCAGTGCTAACATTTTAGAAGAATCCTTCCGCGACCTACAAATAGTGCCATTTAGAAAGTGAAAATACGACAATCTTTTGAATGAAAATAAGTTTGATTAAATAAATAAAACAACAACATTTTAAGAATATGTTACTTTTTTTAAGACATTGTTACAAGTATTATATAAGAAGGAATGTTTACGTTGCCGTTCGCAGCGTAGTAATACACAGTGTAAGACAGAAAAATCTCACACTGCTGTCTCACACTGGACAGGTCTATCTAACACCGGTGATTATGCGAGAAAAATAATCATTCATTACATACTCGTGTGGGATAGTGAAATTCCACCGAGGGGCCAAGATTCACTGTCTAGGACTCGGCAAAGCCTCGTCCTAGACCGTGAATCTTGTCCCCTCGGTGGAATTTCACTATCCCACACTCGTAGTAATGAATGATTCTATTAGTCTCAGAAGTGTAACTGTCTGGACAGCATTCCTCCTCATAACTTATGTAGAACAGTAATTCAATAATGTATGTATCATATAAAATAGAGAAAATGTACATAATTGAGAAATTTAAACAAATTTTACCATGGTGGGTGTATAAATGTAAATAGATTACAAGATAAAGGTGCATTAATGGTTGCCAGTCTACAGAAGACATCAAGGGACGGTGCTCTAGGAAATGCATGAATTCTAGTCAATTAAAAAAAAAAAAAAAAAAAAAAAAAACATGAGTAAAAATATGATAGAACCTTTTAAAGAATGAATCTGTTTCAGAGTAATCAATACATGCGTATTCCATATGTTGATTCATGTACTTTTATTTTTACACGAGGTCTTGATATACAATATACACTAGTACTTTTATTAAATGAAAGTGAGATACCCTACAGATATTTATTCACCCACAAAAATCATATTCCTTGCTGTCAAAGCCCGAGATGAATGTGATTAAACACTCATACCTCTATCACTTTCATGTAATATAATTTATTCTACCGAATCAAGCTAAAATTTTATACCGCTCATAAATACACTTTCAATTCAAGTCTGGGACAATTAAGCAACTGGCAACTCTTAATTTATTTATTCTAGGCCAAGAACGATAACTCTACCAGGAAAAAGTGAGTGTATTTCCTGAGATCATAGTCACTTGACCAACTAGTGTTTTTATAGCATTAAATTCTTTTCGGTTCTATTCCTATACCAGGTTTTGCTGATATCAGACCATGATTTTAACAGGAAAAGGGGTTTTCAAGATTCTAATTCATACTGTGACTATATTCATCAAAAATCAATACAAAGGTTAAAAATAATACTGCAATTTATGGAACATATCTAAGAAATATAATGTGCGATATTTATACAGGGATAATCTTGCAGTACCTACCTCAGCATCCATGACATTGTCTTCGGTTGTTTTCGGCAGTTATCAGAAACGTCATCAGAATATGAGTTTTTGCATAATTAATCAGATTCTCTTGGCAGACGAACTTCACAAAAACGACGATAATGTAGGATATTACTATTTTTTTTAACACTGAAGCACTATTTTACTCTTTTTTATATCAATACAAGTGGTTTTTAATGTTGAAAAATATATGATTTTGATTAGATATTATGCCTTTAAAGTAGTCCACTTTTGAAGCAAAATTTAATGAAATCAAAGCAAAAGAGCATTTTTTAAATATGAATTTTACAGTAATTTCATATTTAGAAACTATGGCAGCACTTTATCAAAACTCTTAGAGTAATGTTGAAAGAATTTAAAAGATTGCTCTAGAATATACTAATATATGAACTATCGCAAATTAATTAATAATTGAATATGCATATGCCTTTCATGTGAGCTTCCTATGTATTTTAATTTGAGATAAAAACGTAATAAAATTACTTTGAGTTACAAAGAATTTCTCATTTCATAATTATTGCAACATTGTTCATTGAAATTCCATATTAATCAAAAAACTACCTGTATATATATCTTGATGTTTTTTTTTGTTTTTTTTTTTTTCCAAAAAATTTACTCTCATAAAAACTAATGAATCCACAGTAGCTGAATCAGAAGAGTAGCTATGTGATTTTCTTTTTTTTACAGACAAATGGGTTGACAGACCACACTCACCTTACCTATAATAGCAGATATGTCTTCAACCAGTTGAGCTAAAAATAGAAAACTTGCAACTGAAGAGACCAAAAAGTACATTTCCTCTTATTTTGAAAAAGACTACTTGGGTCCACTGAACAACTTTAACAGCAAACATTCAATTTGTTTTGCAGGCTGACTAAAAACAAAACAAGAACATACATACACATATGGCTCAAAAACTAACAACTTTATTAGCATAATGATGCCCATTATTATCTGACACAACAATCTCTTTTGAATTTACAAGATAATATTTAAGCACATGATTAATCTCAGTAATTTACTGCACCAGATACAAAATTACACAAACAATAACACAATCACATTCCATGTGTCGCTCAAACACTCATGCTTCCTTCAACTAAGACCTCGGTGCTGATAAAATTGCACTGTTTTATTTTAACAAGAATATCCATGATTTAGGGTTAAAAAAAAATTACTGTAATATTCTCAGAATAATTAATGTATCAACTAAATGTGAACTTAGAAGAACCAAACAGCTAAGAAAGACACAATTTAAATCATATGCAGGTAAGCATGTATATGTATATGGCACAGGTGCATTAAATGCCTGCATGTACAAGTATAAATAAAGTTATATTTAAAGTGAAAGAGAGGTAGTATAGATTATTACAAAATACAAGCAAAACAGAAGTTATCCCATTGGACCTATCAGAAGTGTTGTATCTAAATAGAAACAAGAGGCCCATGGGCCACAGCGCTCACCTGAGTAACTTTGGTCTTGCTGTTTTTCACCTGATTTCTCTCCCCCCCCCTCCGTAGTACTTATTGTGGCCCCTCCCTACCCCAGGGGTCATGATTTGAACAATTGGAATCTACACTACCCCAGGATGCTTCCAAGTAAGTTTCAGCTTATCTGGCCCGGTGGTTCTTGAGAAGAAGATTTTAAAAGAGTTTTCCTATATATTTCAATATAAAACTTGGATTCCCTATTGTGGCCCCGCCCTACCCCCGGGGGTCATGATTTGAAGAATTTAGAATCTACACTACCCCAGCATGCTTCCACATAAGTTTCAGCTTTTCTGGCCCAGTGGTTCTTGAGAAGAAGATTTTTCCTATATATTTCAATGTAAAACTTGGATTCCCTATTGTGGCCCCGCCCTACCCCGGGAGTCATGATCTGAACAATTTAGAATCTACACCACCTTAGGATGCTTCCAGATAAGTTTCAGCTATTCTGGCCCGTGGTTCTTGAGAAAAGATTTCTTAATGACCCCACCCAATTTTTGTACTTTCTTGATTATCTCCCCTTTGAAGGGGACTTGGCCCTTCATTTTAACAATTTAAACTCCCCTTCATCCAAGGTTGCTTTGCACTAAGTTTGGTTAAAATTGGCCCAGTGGTTCTTGAGAAGAAGTCGAAAATGTGAAAAGTTTACAGACGGACGGACAGATGGATGGACGGACAGACAGACGGACGGACAACGGGTGATCAGAAAAGCTCACTTGAGCTTTCAGCTCAGGTGAGCTAAAAATGAATTGCACAATTTTTTTTCATTTTACAAATTGTTCTTGTTTTACTTCTAAGAATTGCAAAAGGAAGGAATTCTCCATACAATAACACCATGCTCCCAGAGAGTGAACAATATATAAATAAAACACTAATACTGTTAAGTACTATACAGTTCAATATCACTACATTTAACACAAAGATCTTCCCAGCATTCTACATGTATACATCATTATTTCTATAAGATCCTGCGAGTTAATACTGACAACAATCCTTATTCACTTTTCTTTCATTTTCTGTTCTAAAGCCTACCAGTTTCATGTGGCAGTTTTTAGACTGTTTATAGGAACAATGGCATTTTTTCAACTGTTTACAGATACTACAGCTGTTTTTTTGACTGTTCACAGAAACTGTGGCTGTTTTTCGACTGTTTACGGAAACTGTGGCTGTTTTTCGACTGCTTACAGAAACTGTGGCTGTTTTTTAATTGCTTACAGAAACTGCAGCAGTTTTTTGACTGTTTACAATCAGTGAGATTCTATTTTACAGGAATCAGCTACATCTTGGTTCTTTTCGAGCATCTTCTTTAACACGCCACTGCATCAACTCCATACAGGAAATGGCATCCTCTTGACTGTCATGGCCTCCCACTATTAGACAGAAGAAGAACAACATTAATATATACTGTAGTGTGTTTGTAATTATTTAAGTCACATTTTAAAGAAGATGTTAATTGAAGTAATAATTTAATGTAAGTTTCAGGTAGAGACAATCATACTGCTCTCTGGAATATCTCTGAATTTTACAATTTTTATATTCCTACATGTACATGTATCTTAATACGATAAAATTTGACACCCAGTGCATGCTAATTTTTTACATTCAAATAAATTAACCTTGAATATTACTGGTTCGTGTTACAACCATAACAGACTTACCATCGTCTTGAATAATTTTCTTCATATATTCTGCCATCAGTGTTTTGAGGGCCCTTTTATAGGGAGGCCCAAGGCGATGAGGAAACACTACTGATGTATCTACCACTGTATCATGTATAATCTGAAAATAAAACATAATATGCATTTTCATTGTCCATCAGATACTTTATTCAAAATAAAAATTGAAGGAAAAATTATTTACTGTCATTAATACTCCAAATATTTTCTTATTAATTACACCAGCTGGTTATGTGTATTTATATGTACATTAACTGAAGAAGAGACCATGAAAAAGTCTTTAGATGTGAAAGTCTGTACACACTGCATGGCAATAAATATTTCGCCAACGATTAATGCATAGTGTTCAGTTGAATGGTGGCGTGAGAAACATTCCCTTATCTTTCATACCATAGGAAATGAGTATTCTAAATGACTTGTGACATGACCTTTCCAATGACTTCACTAATTTACATGTCGACTTAAGAATTATCAACTAATCAGATGAATTTGCTGCAAATTGAAATGTTGGAAATTGTTACCAGTCACAACTAAAATTCTGAATATAGTGGACCTGCAGGTAACAGTCTGAAAATATTACTAGTTAAAACCATAATTGTGGGATTATTTTTTATCATTATTATATGCTTTTCTAAAGACTGTTTTGCCACTTCTGTTTATCTTCTGATTTTTTTTTTTTTTGTGGTTCCTTAGGGTTTACTCGCATTTTCATAATTTAATCAAAAAATTTAATACAAAATATTTTAAAACAAAAAAATATGTATTTTACTAAAGGCAAAAAAATTTCGATGAAAATCTCTCTTGGGGTAAATAGAGAATGTGTAACAATTTCATCCATCAGCTGTTATTGATCATAATGATCTGACACAAAATGCAAAATATTTTGATACATTAAAATGATGTGGAAAATGTATTTAAGACAACAGTATTTCACAGAAAATGTATTTAGAGGTGAAAATGACCTTCACTGGAAGACAGTAACACTGACCTTGACAGCTGCAAGGTCACTTTCCAGGCTGTGTCCAATCAGAATGGTTTTCTCTGTGAAGAGACTGAGCAGAACTGCCTGGACATCCCTGATGTTTGTAGTTACTTCAACCATATCATCCTTAGTGATCCCACTAAACCTGTCAACAAGGATAACCAATTACAACATGACTTAATGAACCTGTATACAAAACTAAGGTAACTCAACAACAACATGGCCCACTAAAACTTTGGATAAAACTAAGGATAACTAAACATAAAGCAACATAGTCCCAGGATATGGCCAGGATATCACATATTTAAAGTAAAGAACTGTTAATCTAGCTACAAAAACATTAAAAAATGCATAACAAAATACTCCTCTACATGGAATCAAAGTTATTGTGTCTTCTTCTACAAAACTAATTTCAACTGAATTGAATGAAAATTTAATTTTTCCTTTAGTACTGACATAGCCTTCATGCAAACCAAATGTGCCTATATGAGCTTCAACCTTCCTACACTGAAAAAGTCAACTAAAAAATCATACTTGTTGCTTATCATTTCAACACACCTACAAATCAAAATGGACTAGTACCTTGTGTTGTAATCTATGATTTTTCTATCTGGTCTCACCAAGGTCTCATATACTGAGTTGTTCTCACAATCTGTCACAGTAACTCTAGCGAGCTCCACACCACCCTGAGTGTACACCTAAAACAAAGAATATTTGTACACAGTTACTATAATCTTTACATTATAATCATGAATTGTAAATAAATATCTCGGGGTGATATGATGGCCTCACCATTTCACAGTCCATGGCATACACTCCATAATCTCCATCAGGGACGGGGGAACACGGGAGGGTCCTCATGTAACCTGTACGATTCTCCCACTTGTTTGTCTCATGAACATGGCACTGCAATAAACACTTCCAATATCACTAATAGTAAATGTTGGCAAGAGATCAGTGATTGTAATAATTTATATGCAAACTTTAAGGGATTTTTCCCTTTTTTCAACAACGTTTAAAGCAGTATTGCATGAAAAGTCTTCAAGTCTTATGAAATTGTTAACTTGTACACTACAGGTTACAGAACTTTAACGGTGTACCTTAGCAATTTGACAACCTTCTGTCCCTAAATCCCCTTGACAACAAGTATATCTAGTTTCAATATACCCAGCAACTGAAAGAGAAAGATTATTCCAATTAAATTTTGTTTTACACCATAACATTAAGTTAAGCAAAGTAATGTAACCATTTTTAATGATGGTCATATTAGCACTGCCTTTATAAAACGCCCCTCACTTTTCTTTTTCCAGGCTTTCCCCCAATGATAACTACACTCCTCCTGATGTGCATATGTCCCATTTGGAAACACCATAAATCGCTTCCCGCATCGCACACAAATTTTCTCATACGCTGAAAATAACCATGTCAAATTTAATGCAAATTCCAGGTGTCAAAATGATGATTAATATGAGCCTGACATATATGTATGGGCAAAGGGATAGGAGAAATATTTTTTTTTTCTATGTTATTTTTGGAAATCTAGCAGATTTTTTTTACTTACTTTTAAGTTTGGCACTATTCTGTTCCTGTTGGCTGACTGTGTATATTTTGGCTACTGAGCTGTTCTCACTATCTGGTCGGGGAAAGCCGTTCTCCTGAAGCTGTTCCTCTGTCATTATGTACCTAGCAAGTCTGTTATAAAATTCACTCCCTGAAAATTGAAATTAAATCTCTGCTGAGACTGTAGCTCAGGGCAAGCTTAATTTAAAACTAAAATTTTTTTTATTTCTCCCCAAAATACTTGTTCCTTCACATCCTTTTGAAATACATGTACATGCACTTGAATGGTTTCTTCAGTTCTTTAGGAATTATAGTGTCACTTTTTATTAAATTTTAAAAAATCAATACATATACAATTACATGTATGTAAAAGTAGCATTTAAAATTATTTATGAATTATTCTAAGTGACCATGAATACTGCGTTCATTGGACAGAGTGAATTATGCTAATTAAACCTGGTCTACTTTTGTACCAATGAAATCAGACCAGACTGAGGAATGCCAATTTCAAAAATTGTTTACATAGAGGCAAGCACATAAAATGTATGACAAACAATACCAATAAGCAATTCAATCAGTAGTGCAAAAAAGGACAAAGATTTACAGAGTAAATTTTGTTGTCCAATAACCAAGGTAAAATGTACCTTTGAAGTTTTCGATGGGTCCTTTTGTTGAGCCCCCTGATCTGTTAAGAGTGTAAGTTGTCTTGGTTGCATTTTTGCCTCCTAACACTGCTTCATGTGACATTTTCAGAGGGGAAGTAGGTTTTGTTGGAGAAGCAGTAAGCTCTGCTGCCTCTGTTCGAAGTCTTTTGATTGTGTTACATGCAACATTAAGGTAGACATTTTTGTTACTGGCTCTTTTGTACACTGAGAGTTCTTCCTCTAAACCCTGTCAGTAACATAATAAAAAGTATATTGTATGGTATTCTAAGTGTATTCTCATTATGATTTAGCATATATATACAGAAACAAAGACCGTTAGGTCTGCCTAAACACAACAAACACTACAAGTGAATAAGCATATATTCTAAATCTAAAGTGAATAATAAATACCCTCTTAAAAGCATCCTCTTCATTATTATAAAGAGGCAGACATTCATCAATAATTGTGTTGAGATATCGCTGCCTCACACTGATTGGGACCTTGCTGCCATATTCTGCTGGAATCGTTGGCCGCCTTATATTCTTCTGCAAGAAGAAGGTTCCAATTTGAAATCACCATTCTTTCCATATACAGAGAGAGAGAGAGAGAAAGAGAGAGAGAGAGGGAGTGGAGGAGAGAGCGAAGAAGATAGAGAGAGAAAGAGAGAAATCCATGATTTTTTTCTGTCTTGGTTTGATATAAGGTTTATCTTACCACATTAGGTACATGAGCTGTGCGTTTCTCCGTTTTGGACGCCGTGGAGACAATGGTTTTACCATTCACCCCTTTGGTCCCCTCTCTCCCATTCTTTACTTTCTGATTTACGTTACTTTGATGAGCAACCCTCTGTTTTCCAGATGAGGATGATGTTGAAGCTTCCTGCTGTTGTAAAATGTAATAAAAAATTAGCATCTAAAAAAAGATTTAATTTTTTAAATAATTTTTCAGCCACATTTTATTGGTTCAATGGTATTCCAAACATCTGCTTTCATGAAAATTTATGAAATCTGAAATAAGGTATAATTCAATGCTGGCTTTAAACAATCAATTTGCAAACATCAAGCTACCACTTAAAACACCAACCACTTCCTGGCAGTCAGTATAATTACATATAATTAGCTGAATCATATTAACTGGACCACCATGAAATATCTTTAACTCTGTACATTAAGATTACTAGTATTTAATTATTCAATGTTGAACTTACAGATCTTCCAGCCTCTTCTTGGGCCTGTTTCTGCATCATAACAAATCTGTTGTGCATGATCTGAGCTGGGGACAACTTAGTATGGGGTTTCTCTGGAATTTTCCTCGTCACCTATAAATTATTAATCAACAGTTACAATTATGAGTACCTCTTACTTCAAATAGCATCTTCATGGTTGCATGATTTGAATTCAGATAAGAGTATGATAAAAGTTGATGTCACATACCTCTTTGCTTCCTTTGTGGGCAGTCCTCTTTTTACCTGGGATACTCACACTCTCAGACTGATCAGTTTCACTGATACTCTGAAAATTAATCCAAATATAAATATATAAACATATATATACAAAGTGGATTGGTGTACTGAACTTCATAATATCAATAAAGTTAATATCATAAAATATTCTGCATCGTTTAACATAAGTTTTTTTGTTAAAACTTCGTTTTTCTCTGGATGTCTACAGCACTTTACTTTAACATGATCAAATAACTTCAATGCATATTTACCCTTTCACTTCGACTTTTTTTCTTGGGTGATGGTTTGGAGACATTACTTTCATTATAAATCCTCAGACATTCCTCGTACGGATCTTCCTCCTCATCACTGATTAGAGGAGGAATATCATCCTCATCACTGTCCACACCAAACAAGTCTAAATTGATATCTAGTATCTTCCTTTTGGACCCATTACTATCCAATGAAACTGATCTATCCCTTTTCTTGTTCTCTCCTTTCATGGAGTCCTTAGAAGTCTCCTTTGAACTTTTTGATCTTGATTCATGTTTACTATGCCCACTGGATTCATGTTTTTCACGCACCTTCCCAGATTGTTCTTTCTTTTTGTCACCAGAATGTTTATGATGGTCTTGCTTAGTAGAACTTTTATCACGTGCCGAATGTTTACTGTGCTCATGTTTTTGTTGTGAGGAGGAGGAGGAGTGCTTTTTTGGGGTCTCTTTTTCACTGGATGATTTGTGTTTGGAGGAGGATATGTGTTTGGAGGAGGAAGATGTAGAAGATTTGTGACGAGAGTGTTTGTGGGATGATTTGTCGGGGGTGGAGGAATGAGAGGAGCTTTGTTTCTCAGCTGGCTTTGTGGAGCCTTTTACAGAGGATTTGCTTGAAGATGCCCTAGATGAGGAATTTTCTCTAGATTTTGAGGATGAACTGTGTTTTGAGGATTTTGATGAGTCAAGTTTTGTACTGGCTCTTTCTTTATGTGAATGTCCATTTTTCTTTGTTTCATTACTGACAATAGATTTTGATGATATTTTTTCATGATTTGAAGAATTTTCCCTTGTTCTGACTTTTTTGGCATGGTCTTTTGTTTCAGAGCGAGACTTTTTCCCTGACTCTGATAACTTCTTCTTTGTATCACTTGAAGTTTCATTACTGTTGTTGTCATGATCCATAACTGGTAAAAGCAAATTTTCAAACACTTTCACATCAGTAATTATGGAAGGTTTCGATGAATCTTCCTCCTTGTCGTCAGAACTATCATCATCTTCCAGTGTTGGAAGTCTAATTTCTTCTTCTTCATCATCTTCGCTGAACATTCCCATTTCTCCATCATCACTTTCATCTTTGTCATAGTCTGGCATTGCTTCTTCTACATCTCCTTTGGCTCTTTTGGCAGGGTGATTGAATTCTGGTGTGGTGGGGTCATAGGTAAAAGTTCTTTTAATAGCCATTGGCTGAGAGGGTTTAAGTAAGCATGTTGTAGAAAAATTACTCTGTGGATCATATTCTTGCTCATTTTCATTTTCCAATGTGCCTGCTTGATATTTGGAGAGACTAGGTTTTAACTGATTGATGGGAGTGGGGTTATATTCGGGGAAATCTTTCGCTTCTGGGGTATATGTTTGTTTGTCAACAATGTCAACTACTGGTTCACCAGTGTACTTGTTTACTTTATGAACAGGTTTGTGTATTTGTAATTTTGGTCTTTGAGACTTAAGTGACTTTTTATCAGTTGGTCTGTATTTCTTACAATTTGAATTCACTTCTACTGTGTATTCATTAGATGGCTGGGTTACCATTTGTCCCCCATCATAATTTTTGTCTGTTGGATTATACTTCTTGCAATCTGAATTCACTTCAACTGTATATTCATTTAATGACTGAGCCACCACCAGTTCTCCATTATAATTCTTATCTGTTGGTTTGTATTTTTTACAATTTGAATTCACTTCCACAACATATTCATCTGATGACTGGGCCACCATTGGTTCCCCGGTGTACTTGTTGACATTATCTTGCTCCTGTGACACCTGCACATCTGTCCTTTCTGGGGTTGGAACCTCTGGTTCCCCGGTGTATTTATTTACTTTAACTGGTTCCCCTTTTAAACCAGATGGTCCACTTCCAGTTGTCCAGTTACAATCAATCTGTGCATCTGAATATCCACTGCCTGCAGCTTTACTTTGGGGCTTCTCTGAAAGATAAGAACACCATTTGTATTTGGCTATCGAAACGTTTGACATTGTATTCCTGATTGACATACATGATAACATCTCAACCAAGTAGAAATTTTCTATTCATTTAAATGGAGAAATGAAGCTGCATCACTCAAAATGAAATGAAGGTATTAATCAAATTTACTCCTAGTCTCTAAATGAGGCTTCTTTTGAGCAATATTTCAAGTTGTGCCAGTTGCTAATTTAAGAAGGAATCTTTCAACAGTCAGCAAATATTCAATAACAGGCCTAGATGATTTTCAAATTCATGTGGCTTCCAAAATTTACTGCATAATCTTGCTTTTTTAAACATTCTTGATATGACTCTCCCAAAATACCAAAATTCAGATTTTGAGAATTTACCTGTTAAATCATAATTTACTGAGCAATAAACAGGTCCGGCACAATTTCTTGATTTAGCTATATAGCTTGAAAAAGCTATATAGCTTTATTAAGCTATTCAGAATAGCTTGATTTAGCTATTTTATCACACTTTTTTCTTAAATGTGTTATTTTCTCAGCATGCACAAAAAGTCGCACCTTGGTGCAGTGATAATATTCAACCTTGAACTCTTCTGAAAATAATGCATGTAAAAATCACTCATCAAATTACGTCTCCTTAAGAGACTTTGTACTCCAAGTTCTAAAAGTTTTGGGGCTATATAAAGCAATTGATACAGTTACTTCTTCATTGAAATTATAAAAGAGGCCAATTATGGTCAACAAGATAATTGATTGGTAATAATTCAGTACAATGAGAAGCAATCATACTTATCCATGCCTCAACGCACACAAGGTGGTCTACAGTTACTCAAACAATGGAAATTCATCTTTTGCTTAAAAGTATTCAAATGCTGCAATGTTAGAACCATCTTTGAATTAGGTTGTTGTTTTGATAGCCCATAGTACATATATGAATAGTCAAATACTTGCGACTTTTTGTCTATTTCTTACAAAACACATTTTTCTGAAAAACTGCACATAAATAGCTTTATCAAGCTATTTTGAATAGGTTAATAAAGCTATATAGCTTTTTCAAGCTATATAGCTAAATCAAGAGATTGTGCTGGACCTGATAAACATGAAACTTGACCCCCTTCTAAAATATCTAAATGGCAATTTTTGTCAATAGCATGGTTTTCTGAATTTGAGATAAATTAATACAGAAAGATATCAAAGCATATCATTTATTATTTTAAGACACTTTTTCCACCGAAATATACAAGAAAACAAGTCTTTCTGCTACCTTCCTCTGTCTTCACATGTCGGTAGTGGCAATATGGACGTTCACAAAGTCCACTGGCGAAAAAAGGACAGTTGAAACCGCGGAAATACCCCCCGCTGGAGAACATGTTTTTCTAGTAAGCAAATACTTGCACATTTGTGAGAGAAATAACGTAAGAAATATATTTAAACCCCCTACATCTCAGCTACATGACAGTTTTCACGACAAATGGAAACAGTTTTTTGAGGCGAACCACAGTTTCGTAAATTTCATTTCTTTTTGTGTAAATCTTAATTTCTTTATTAATACTCAATCAATAAAGTTTTTTCAGCAATTCAATATTAATATAAGAGTCATAATTGATGTATTAAACGAGGTAATATTCTATTTTTTTCAATGTTAGAATTTTATTTCCCACAATTCATTGTCAAATATGTCAGCGCCCATAGTATTGTCGATTTTTATTTCTTTTAAAATTTCGTGGAAGACATGACATACTGTGTATATATACGTCTGTAGAAAATATTGACAAATTGTTTTAAATTGCAGTTTTAGAAGTAAGTGGGTATATTCTGTAAATGGAAAAGTCATGTCTATTTTATTCAAAAGGCACATCTTGAATATTTGTTTATTTTTACCCTTTACTTTCATTTTTACAGTTTAGATCAAAGTACATCTTCAGATATTACCATGTCTAAGCACCAAATCCTAGCTTGAATTCATTTTGAACCACAAATGTCAGTCAATATTTTTTGCGCTCCACATTCTGCTACCTTTTGATATTTTAGTTATTTGCAATGTGTTTCTGTTATGCCTTTACTTGAGAATGAAGTAGCAAACTTGTTTAGTTTCCTGATTTAGCACTGGTTTATTTGCAATGATAATCTAAAGCTAAGGCTGGAGTTATGTCTGTCACCATTCTTTAACTCTATTGATTAAAAGGACTTGAACTTGGCCCATAATTCCATATGAATGTGCATTAACAGAGAATGGTATTATACTGATTTAAGTTTCAGCATGTAGGTCCATACCTTGTATCCACTCCTTGTATTCCTCTGTTGGTTCCAGTTGTCATCAGATGGTCGCCAACCTTTTTAAGATGTTTCAACCCAAGACCATAACATCCTCCATTTGGAGAGTTAGTAGTGGTGGCAATCCACTAAGGGACCTAGTAGGAGACCTAGCTACTGCTTAGAGACTAGAGAGTAAGAGACTAGAGAGTGAGAGACCTACTGGTTAGAGATTAGAGAATGAGAGACCTACTGCCTAGAGACTAGAGAGTGAGAGACCTACTGCCTAGAGACTAGAGAGTAACAGACCTACTGCCTAGAGACTAGAGAGTAACAGACCTACTGCCTAGAGACTAGAGAGTAAGAGACCTCAACAAGAAAGCAACACTTGAACTGATCTTCCCTCTTTAATTTTGATCCTGTCAGCTTTCTCTCTGCTAATTCCCACTTCATTCATACTCTGTTGCTTTCACTTTCATATGGGCATCCTCAGTATGTCTCACTTCTGTTTGAACCATGCTTTACCTTTCTGAAGCTGTTGCTTTTGATGACTTCTGGAAGTGTGTCATTGGCACATGACATTTTGCCTCTCGGTACAATTTTCTTATAATATCCTGTACCTGAAAGTTCTTGTCTTCATGGTCCACTGATGTTGATGTCTACCACTGTCCTTCCTGTATTTGTTTTGATGCCTGCCCTAGGAACTTTGACATCTGCCTAGTCCCTCAGTGTCATGACTAGGCAACACATTGGTATACCTTGAATTCCTCCACTACAGATGATAGTTGTAGCTGGGATGAGCTGTGTAGAAACTTATCACTATATTTCAAAAAGAGATTACACATGAAGGCAACAGCAAGATGATAACTCTTAAGGCAATAGGTGCAATTCATTTATAGTTATGATGTTTTACTGGTTGTGTAACTTACATGTTGTATGTCAACTGATCAACTTTTCCCATACTCAAGCATAGAAAGAACAAGGGTCAACTATTGCCAAAGTATTTTCAGGATTCTCTTTTTGTGCTGAATGGCCTCACATCACAGCACCCTTCATTATGTTGAGACTTTCTTGACAGAACTATATGGAATGCCTTTTGAAAAAATAAATTTAAAAATTTGCACCTGTCTTAAAATAATTAAATTTGAATTTAGAATCAAATATGAGATGAGGACTTCAAATAGTTAAAGTGAAGTGAAGGTTAAGGTCTATTAGACCTTGATAGTATTTATTTATTTCAAGGAAGATGTATTAAAATCCGACATAGATTGCAGAAACTTTGTAAACATTTTTTTAAAATGCTGTGACCTTTCTATTTTTAGAATGATTGAGCAGATATGGCAGAAAGTAAAGAAATTTTAACTGCAGGTGAAATTGAATTTGATATCAAGAAAATATTGAAAATAGGCTCTGATGCAGAAGAGAGACCTTCACCCAAAGATGGCAAAGAGGAGTCAAATACACAGAATAGTCCAGATGAAACAGACTTTATTGGAGAGAAACCATCACTGGAGACTGATAATTCAAATAGCAAATTAGATTCAACAAAGGGCCAGAGTAAAGGAGCACTAGAAAAAGTCAATCATGCTGTTCCAGAAGACATGGTGGAGGTAACCATTTTGGACAAGAAAAAGAAGAAAAAGAAGAAAGGTGCTGGACAGGAACCTAAAGAGATTGATCAAGATGGTAAATATTTTTTATTTTTAGTTCATCTGAACCCCAAAAAGGCTTAAAGACACATGTTTGTGTCAAATAAATTTGTTTTCAATGTGTCATGTGTGTTAAAATGCATATAATACAGATTTGACGATGGACATCTTTTTTGTTATTACAAGAGACATTCTCTTTTTTTAATAGATTATTTTTACAAAGTTTTGATATCAACTTAGATTTAACCATGCATGGATGAGAATTACACCTAACACAATTTTGATGATGATTAGCATTTACCAGAACTTCTGGGATAAACTTTAAAAAATAAAAAGGAAAAAAAAACATAATAAGATGATTTCATAATGATATTTCTTTAAATTTAATGCAATGTATTTGTTGAGGTAATTTTAAGGTATAGGCATATGTATCTTTTACCACATAATGTCTTCATTCAAAATACAGGAGGTGAGGATCCTGTATTCCTGAGTGCATTGGAGAAAGAACACATTTTCCCTTTGAAGAATGTATGTTTTTGTCATTCTATAATGAGAGTCAAAGATTACATTTCTGTAAAGGATAATCCAACTTGTGGAATAAAATTATTTTCTCCTGTTAAAATCAATATAGACTCTTTGTCCTAATGCTACAATTTTTTTTTTACAGAAAATGAAGAAAGCTTTAGTTACTGTGTTCTTTTGTCGCTTATGCAACATACATCTGAATAGAGAGGCCATTTCTCTCCACATCGATGAACAGATGCACTTTCAGAGAATGAAGGTAAACCCTTTATATGTACTAAATGTTTGATTTCAAATTAACATTTTTATGCCCCGCCATGAATATGGCCGGGGCATATAGTGTTTGTCATGTCCGTCTTCCGTCCTTCCGTCCTTCTGTCTGTCCTTCCGTCACACTTTGCGTTTAGCTCTGTTCAAAGCTCAGTTTCAAAGAAACTATCCAAGATATTTTTATCAAACTTCATATGCTAATAGATAGTGATGAGAGCTATGCAACTGCATCAACATTTTTTGACCTTGACCTTTCTTTTGACCTTGTCCTCACACTTTTCTTAAATTAGTGTTTAGCTCAGTTTTAAAGATACCATTCAAGATAGTGTAATCAAACTTCATATGATGATACATACTGATGTAAGCTATTCAACTGCATCAACATTTTTTGACCCTGACCTTTCTTTTGACCTTGACCTCACACTTTTCTTAAATAAGTGTTTAGCTCAGTTTTAAAGATACCATTCAAGATAGTGTAATCACTTCATATGATGATACATACTGATGTAAGCTATTCAACTGCATCAACATTTTTTGACCTTGACCTTTCTTTTGATCTTGACCTTACACTTTTCTTAAATTAGTGTTTAGCTCAGTTTTAAAGATACCATTCAAGATAGTGTTATCAAACTTCATATGCTGATACATACTCATGAGAGCTATTCAACTGCATCAATATTTTTTGATCTTGACCTTTCCTTTGACCGTGACCTCACTTTTCTTAAATTAGTGTCAAACTTCATATGCTGATACATACTGATGAGAGCTATTCAACTGCATCAATATTTTTTGACCTTGACCTTTCCTTTGACCCTGACTTCACTTTTCTTAAATTAGTGTTTAGCTCAGTTTTAAAGATACCATTCATAATATTTTTATCAAACTTCATATGCTAATACATACTGATGTAACCTTTTCAACTGCATCAACAATTTTTGACCTTGACCTTTCCTTTGACCTTGACCTCACTTTTCTCAATTTGTGTTAAAATGTTGCATTACTAATATACCCTCGGCGGGGCATTCATGTCCTATGGACATATTTCTAGTTTATCATTTAAGCTCAATATGTTACTTTTCTCTTGTAAGAATCCAAAAAAGAAACTAAAGAATCCTCAAACATCTCAGGAGAAACCACAGGCAAAACACGATCGGGAACAAGGGAAAAAAGCAGAGAGCCAAGGTGCTCCTGTGTCCTCGTCTAAGTCACAGCAAGGAAAGGGATCCAAGTTATCTATTCAAGGTAAGGGATGTAGATCTTTCTTAGAAACAAAGTAAGGAATCTAGGTCACCTTTAAACAATATGGGATGTAAGTTATCTTTACAAGGTAAGGAATGTAGGTAAGGGATCTACATGTAGGTCACCTTTAAAAGGTTAGGGATCTAGGTCATTCTTACAAGGTAAGGGATTTAGGTTAGTTTTACTTGCTAAGGGATCTGGGTCATATTTATAAGGTGTGGGATCTAGGTCATCTTAACAAGGTAAGGGATCTATGACACCTTTTACAAGGTTAGGGATGTAGGTCTTATTTACAAACTAAGGGATCATGGTCATTCTTACAAGGGAAGGCATTTAGATTATTATACCCCTGCTCCGAAGGAGAGGGGGGTTTACTGTTTTACCCTTGTATGTCTGTCTGTCTGTGTGTCTGTCTGTCCGTAACAAAGTTTGGTCGCAGTTTTCTCAGCAACTACACATTGCAGGTGCTTGAAATTTTAGCACACTCTTTGTTAAGGCATGCCATATGGTGGGATTCATTTTTTTACAATTCCGATGTCAACTTCCTGTTTATCCGTGGGTCTGTCCGTACCATACATAACAAATTTTGGTTGCAGTTTTCTCAGCAACTACTCATCACAGATGCTTGAAATTTTAGCACACTCTTTTTTTAGGCATGCCATATGGTTGGAATCATTTTTGTATGAATCCAATGTCAACTTCCTGTTTATCCGTTCGTCTGTCCGTACCATACATAACAAATTTGGGTGGCAGTTTTCTCAGCAACTACTCATCGCAGATGCTTTAAATTTTAACACACTCTTTGTTTAGGCATGCTATATGTTGGGATTCATTTTTGTGCAAATCCGATGTCAATTTCCTGATTATCACTGTGTCTGTCCATAACTGAACTTGTGTATTCACATCAGAGCGGGGGTATTATTAGTGAGCACTGGCTCACAGACTTCTTGTTTTTTCAAGCTAAGGGACCTGTGCCATATTTACAAGGTATGGAATCTAGGTTTTCTTTACAAAGCAAGGGATCTAGGTTTTATGTTTCTTTCTTTATATGTTTCTTACATAGGGATATGTTTTGTGCAAGCTGATTTATTGTAGAAGGTAAACAAAATTTTAAACCTTTGTAGATATGGATGACAAGACTTCTACGGACATTTTACATAGTACTTTGGAGAAAGAGAAAATATTTCCCCTGAAAAAGGTGCTGTATTTTCCGATTCTGTAGTGTTGAATTCTCTCATGGATTTTTTTCTTAGAGTTATTCCTATAAGTTTAAATTATGTTGCATGTCTTCCAAATCAATTTTATATTAAATACAACAAATGATAAACTAAAATATACCTTTTTAGTATTTCAGTGAAATTATTCAATGTTAGATTGTTTAAAGTATATACCGGTTATGTGTATAAAAAACGTATCTAAGAAAGACCACATGCACTGTACATCCTTGTTGCATGTGGCTGATAAACATTGTCATGAGTTACTTATCTTCATACAGAAGTCAGTAAGGTTCCCTCGAGCCAGGTATTTCTGTCGGCTCTGTGATTATCACATGGATGCCGTGGAGGACTGTAAGAAGCACTGCCGAGATAGTAGACACAAGAGAAGAAACGAGGTCAGCATGTGGACATAAATTCAGTTTTACATCACTTCAGAGGCAGAGAGATTCTTTCTGTCAGTTTTAGTCACACATGTGTGATAGAATTTTATTTAGATAAATTTATACATAAACGTGTAGTTCAAACAAACAATGTCCATTTTTTGTACATATTCAGACTTTCTGTATGGTAAGATTTTAGTTTCGTTTTTACACACTTTTCAGGTCAGTAAGTTTGAGACAAAGTTAAAAAGCATTCCATGTCCCTCCACCAGCCACTTGGCAGCACTTGATGAGCTGGTAGAGAGAATATTTACAGAGAGGGGGTTATCTGAGGGGGATTTACAGTACAGGGAGGATCTAACTAGGTCACTGCAAGACAAACTGACAAAGGATGAACAGCTCAAAGGTAGGGATGATTTGTCAGTGCTGTGATTGGCAGTCTTTAGATAACAAAGCTTTATGTAGACTCTAACTGTAACAATTGAATATGATAATTATATATTTTATTTAATGAGCAGGTAAATTATGGCTAAGCACCTAAACCAAGATTTCGTTTTATATTGTAAAGAGTGTGCATTGTGATTATGTCTTCTTTTGTCATTTCTTTGGTAAAAATCATTTGTGTAAAAGTCAAATTAATCCAAATATCCATTTTGTTTTGTGAATTGGAGGTCTTGGATACATGATGATGTATGACATTAATGTTTCCTTTTTGACAGATGTAAAGTTAATACTGTACGGTTCTTCTCTTTCAACCACTGGAATGAAGGACAGTGATGTTAACATTGACCTAGTTGTTCCTCAGAAGGTCAACCAGGCAAAAGCCCTTACACATGCATATAAAGTTATCAAGTCTTTAGGTATGTAGTCATCACCATAATATGCACAATTTATAAAAAAATGTATGTTTAATATATTTCTCCAAATGAAGGAGGATTTTTAATTTCTATGTATAACAAAGTGGTTGTACATGTAAAACAGTGACTTTTACAAACTGGTCTGTAAGTTAAATGCACCAGAAATAAAGTTCCTGTGAATTTTACAGAGGAGTACAAGGATGTCCAGAGTAACTTCTTATCTGTAGTCCCCTGTGTGTTGTTCACCGACTCAGAAAGAGGCTTGAGCTGTCAGCTGACCATTGGGAGTGACCTAGCTCGAGAGACTAACAAACTTTTACTCATGTATACCAAGTGTGATCCGCGATTCAGGAAACTTGCTTTGGTCTTCAGATACTGGGCAAGGGTAAGTATCTTTTCTAATGAGACTGTACCTGTATTCACTGAGAGATGTGTAAATTCTTTACTGAATTAGAATCACAGTGTGCAATAAACCACATCAAGGATGGGGCTGCATCAAAGTACCCTTAAACATGTTGATTGAAGTTTGCTTGTTATTCACTACTGGTGGCTTTTTTGGATAGAATTGAATGTGTAATAATTTGTCTGTTCCAGATATGTAAAGTGGATTGTCAGATGGAGGGAACTGTGCCTGCGTACTGCTTTTTCCTGATGACTGTCTATTTTCTGCAGCAGTGTTCTCCCCCTGTCCTGCCTGTGTTACATGTATATTTGTACTTGAATTACATTTCTAATAGAAGCTAGAGCTTATTTTATAGTGTTTTAATAAACAGGCTGATTACATGAAAAGTATGAAATTGAGAATTTAAATGGTTTTAAAAAAATCAGTATGACAGATCAGTATGTCATGCATACATAACGCCAGAAAATATTAATAAATGTATAATCTACAAACAAATTTAGACATATGAAGAAGAAACAAAGTCTCAGCCTAAAAAGGCACCAGCTCCCAAGCACTTAAACATGGAACAGGTATCAGTTCAGGTTTGTGTCAAGCTCATAAGTCTTCATTTTAATGTAGAATGCTAATTACCCTGGTAAAGACTAGGGCTGCTTCATAAATAAAAATTCTAATTTAAAAGTGAAGAATACTGTAGTGGAGATTCCACCTTAACATTTATTTTATCTGTCATTTGCAGGCAGAGGGTTGGCATTCAGAGAACACAGACAGCGTAGGAAGTTTGTGGTTAGAGATGTTGGAGTTTTACAGTCTCAAGTTTGAAAACTCTGTAAACATCATTTGTATCAGACAACACCAGGTTCTTTCCAGGGTAGAAAGAAAATGGAACACAAAACGCCTGGCCATTGAAGGTATAAAAACACAAATGAGGAAGTTCTGTATGTTATATGTAAAGTAATATTTCTGTGGTAATTCTTGTTAAGGCCAGTATTCTCTGTTCCAATGTGTCACCACAAAGTTGTGAATTTATAAATAAAAATGTTTCTTTTAATGATGTTGCACATGCCTGGTTGAAGGCTAGGAACTACTCAGACAAAATCTCATTCACATGAAGGATATTTAGTTTGAAATATATTTACATTCAGTTTTATCCCCCCCCCCCCCCATTACTTGATATGTTTAAATGCTGATATTTATTCTTCTAAAGTCATTTCATTTATTCATTTCAGATCCATTTTCACCTAAAAGAAATGCTGCACGTTCCGTGAAAAGTTTTGAACTCTTTGAATATATATGGGACTGCATTAGGATATCTTATCTGTATTTTGGACTGCCATCTAATTTTTCAATTTTTTCTGATGAAGAACAGAAATTTGTCCTGGCAAAATCCAAAAAGAAGGTTGTTCAAAATAATACTGAGAATGAGAAATCAGGAGCTGGAATTTCTTCTGACATGACAGATTTAGGAGGGGGAGGAAGTGTGTTAAATGAAAGTGAAACCAGGAACACGCCAGATTGTGGTGAATCGGTGAATAGGAAATCAATGGACTCTGTCTCAGAACAGGTGTCTTGTTCCATTTGTCCAGAACAATCTGTGACGTCTGGGTGCGATGCATGTTCTGGTAAATCTAGTGAAGAATCTTCCAAGGAGGATGACAGACCTGCTGGTTCAGATAAGTCTGTGACAGAAAACTCCATATCATCTACGGATTTGTCTCAATCAGGTTCCATAGAAGAAATGGCTAAAGGCATTGTAGACAGTGTTCTTAAACATGCACTCTCAGTGTTTCATTCCCAGTATTCTCAAACACAAGATGACATGGCTGCTAGCAGTGATAAGTCAGGCACAAACAAATGTGAAAAAGTAAACGGTGGATCAAACAATGTTGATCCAATCAACACTGAGATTTCTGTGGAGAAAATGGATAAGGCTCTGGAATATATTTACACGTTTTCCTTGGATACTCTTTCTGATGGGAAGGTATGTTTCCACAAGATACATGAGAGTAATGTTTTTTTTTTAAGAATCAGTATTTTACATGCCTACTATTGTGTTTAGTCTTGGAGGAAAAAAAATAATAATATTATTAAAAGTATCTCCAAATACCTCTGCAGGTATACATTCTGTACAAAAAGGTCAAGGTCACTTTATTTATTTATTTATTTTATTTAGAAAATGTTTCCAATAGCATTTATTATATTTACAAATTTGTACAGGGCCCCAAAGTAATATGTGTGATCTGTGAGAAGGAGGGTCATCTAAAAATGAACTGTCCAGAGGATTCCCTACCAGAGTTAGTTCCCCTGCCAGACATGACAAAGGATCATCTAAGGCTACTTACAGAAGTCCTAAAACAAGTTCCAAGTAAGAGAACATGCAATTGTTATATCATTTACATTTTATATGAATCAAATTTTAGTTCTCTCAATATATCCTGTTTATCTTAATGCCATTAACAGTAGGAAATATCTCATTTAATTAAAAGTCAGTATTATGGTTTATATGTTTACTGAGGATGCACAATGAACTGTCGTGTACTAAATAAAAAGAAGAATTTTTCTGTTTTTAAAGTCTGTAACAGTTAGAGCTCTAAGTTTACAGAAACACACACATGTACATGTTTCTCCATAGAAGTAAATACAGATCTTGAAGAGGGGTAACTTCATGTTTTGAAGATATCCTTTAGTCAGGAAAATAAAAATGATGAAGACATGCATTGTGAATTCTTGTGCCTGATTATATTTTTATTTTTGTTTCTGTACATTTCAGAAGATTTTGCTCCCTCAAGAGAGGAGACTCGGGAGAGGGAAAATATAAGATGGGAACTGGAGCTCTTCATACAGGAACTTTATCCAAGTAGGTCTATTTTTAGTATGGGTGATTAAAGACTTTACTTCATGGGAGCAGAGAGGCGTGGCCTAGCTGCTGGACTAAATATCCAGGTCTAATGAATTAACACTTGTTATCCTCATTTCCTTTCACATTTAAAATTTTAGTGCTACGTAGAGCTACCTAGCCACTATAATCTGGAATGCATTCTTGATATTAATTGAATACAACTATCTAAGAATAGTATTGTACATGTGACATGTTTACATCTATGAATGGAGAAAAGAAACAAAGAAGAAGGTACGGTTTTAGCTTTATTGTGCCCTACAAATTTAATGTTCTCAAAAAGTTCTGAAACTGGCTTAAATATTAGTTGCGTATATGACTGTGATAAATCAGGAAAGAATGTGGCATGAAGGAGTACACTTTTGGAAATATGATGTCATTAGTTTGATGCATTTCTCTATTTTAAACAGAAAAAGCCTCAAAATGACCCATTTCAAGGGTTATTTTCCTTAAGAAAATAGTGTCCACAGCCGTCGCCCACTTTAATTTTTGGATATGTTGTGTAAAATTCTTTGAAAAATCACATATCTCAAAATCGTTTTGGGCGATGCCTGTGGACAATATTATCTGAAAGAAAATTCCATTGAAAATTGGTGTCTTCTGCAACTTTTTAAGAAAATACGGGAAAATGCACAAGTTTATGACGTCACAATTAGCATTTAGAAAGTCATGTTAGAAAAATGATTTGTATAATCTTTCTGCATGGAATTTCAATGATTCAGAAAGCATGAGTTTTAATTTTTTACATAACTTTTATTTTTAAGAAAAACACAGGGCAAGATTGGTACTGAAACCGAACCTTGTTCTTTACAGTTATGAAGATAACTGTAAATATTAATTGTAAATGAAAATCCTTTATGTTTCTGTTTGTTATCTTCACATCGTTATTTTACATTCTTCTTTTTGGTAATAGCGGCCCGACTAGAGCTATTTGGTTCATCAAACAATGGCTTTGGTTTTCGTCACAGTGACCTTGACCTATGTATGACCTTTGATGATCTCCCTGTTCCTGAGGTATAATGTGACATTTGGACAAATAAATACATTGTATTTCACATCTGTATTGAAGGGTTACTATTAATTTAGGTAAACTCTTGACTATCTGCCTTTCATTGATAGGAAATGAACACACAAAAAAATCAGAGAAAAGTCAAATTTGCATAAAAATCTTCAAATTTCTTTCTGTCAGATATCATAAAGTGTAGTTATAAATGCATAAAGTATATAAAGGTTTTCATTTCAAAGCAATGGTAATGACTTGTTAATATTATAACTAAGTAGACATGATGTTATCTTTGCACAGAACTTGGACTATGTAGACTGCATAGAGAAAGTCACAAAGAAGTTGAAAACACACAGAGGCTTGTACAATGTGTTTCCCATTACAACAGCTAAAGTTCCAATCATCAAATTCAAACACAGATCATCTCAGCTGGAAGGAGATATCAGCTTATATAATCTTCTGGTAACAAATTTACCTATGTTTACATATATATCTACTGATGTCTGGTAACAAATTGACCTATGTATACATGTATATCTACTGATGTCTGGTAACAAATTTACCTATGTATACATATATATCTAATGTTGACTGGTAACAAATTTACCTATGTATACATATATATCTACTGATGTCTGGTAACAAATTTACCTATGTATACATATATATCTAATGTTGACTGGTAACAAATTTACCTATGTATACATATATATCTAATGTTGACTGGTAACAAATTTACCTATGTATACATATATATCTACTGATGTCTGGTAACAAATTTACCTATGTATACATATATATCTAATGTTGACTGGTAACAAATTTACCTATGTATACATATATATCTACTGTTGTCTGGTAACAAATTGACCTATGTATACATGTATATCTACTGTTGCCTTAGTTTTAGCAGTCAGTTACAAATAAGATTTAAATACATGAACATGTACTTTGTGCAAGAGATGTATAGATAAGGAAATGATTTTTATTTCAGGCTTTACACAATACACGGATGATTAATTTGTATGCTACGATGGACTCAAGAGTCAGAGTGCTGGGCTATGCCATCAAAGTGTTTGCAAAGGTAAATGTCTATTTTCTCCACAATGCTCAATTAAAGCCCCTGACTATTTGACCAGGCTATCCAAGTAAATTTGATATCCCTGGCTCTTATATCTATTTTCTCCACAATACTCAATTAAAGCCCCTGACTATTTGACCAGGCTATCCAAGTAAATTTGATATCCCTGGCTCTTATATCTATTTTCTCCACAATACTCAATTAAAGCCCCTGACAATTTGACCAGGCTATTCAAGTACATTTGGCATCCCTGGTTCTTATATCTATTTTTTTGTGGGGGGATATGTTAGATTGGTGATGCTCTATATCCTGATATCTTTATTATTTTGATAGATATGTGAGATTGGTGATGCCTTGCATGGTAGCCTGTCATCTTATGCCTATATCCTGATATCTTTATTATTTTGATAGATATGTGAGATTGGTGATGCTTCCCGTGGTAGCCTGTCGTCCTATGCCTATATCCTGATGTTGATTTACTATCTACAGCAGTGTAAGCCACCAGTTCTCCCTGTCCTTCAGGAGGTGAGTAGTGAACTGATTCTCCTGTCAGGAAAGATAATTCTTTGTAAGATTCTTAGTCATCATCTGAAATGTTTATAAATATGAGGGTTGATTGAAAAGTAATGTCACAACTACTATAAAATCTTTAAAAATTGGAATTTATCAACAAAATTTTATATACTTATACCTCAATTTTTTCTTAAAATTTACCTTAAAATTTTATTTAGATATAAGCAAAACTTTTTAAAATACTAAAATAAGTACAGTGTTAGGTCTTGTATATTGCTAGAGTGCAAGAATGTGACCGATATCGTTATGATGTTACTTTTCAGCAGTCATTTTCAGGTCATCCATAAATCTTTTAAATCTCTCAGATATACATCTATTTCTTTTATGCACACTCCCACCTCTTGCTGAAGTGCCTAGTTTTGAGCTATTTCAAAAAATATTTTCACTTTTCATGGTGCATTTGCATATCCATTCCCCTGTGCATACCACCTCACACCTTCTTCCAAGCATCTGTCTAACTTGAGACTTACATTTCATTGGTATTTTATGTAACTTTTGTATTCTTATAATGTTAAATAATTTAATTTTGTTTGTATTCAAGTCTCTGATTGGTTAATATCCAAAAAGGAACACAAATTATTTCTGTATAACCTGGTTTGGTATGGGGACACCCCCCCTGACAACCAGCTGAATCATCAGTATGCATACAATCCTCTCATTTCCAGTCCTCGGGATTCATGGAAAATTCCAGATTTAATAAATATACCTTTAACTTCAAACAATAATTCCATCTTACCACATGTAAACAAACTGCTAAGCCTATGTATCAGTCTTTACCTCCCCTCGCTTCCCATCACTCCCGTTACTTCCGTTACTACAGTTGTATTATTGAGCGGCAAATTTGAACTAATAAAAACCAACGAAATTTTACACCCATAGTTATTTAATGATTTTAAAATTAAATTATAAGGAATGACTCTAATTCTTGGCCAAGAATTAGAGTCATTCCTAAAATATTTCCCTTATAAGTTGTTAATGTCTTAGATGTCAAGTCTGGCGTTAAGTCTGGTTATCAATCTTTTCAATATTTCAACTAGAAAGAAGAAAAATTGGACGATCCGTCAACCTTTAACATCACTTAATTTTTGAAGCTGACAATACATAAGATCTATGCCAAAGGAAAGAATATGAGTAAAATTTGGACAAAGTTCAAAGAATTTTAAAACTACAACTCCAAAAAATATGCTTTATAGAAAAATGGCAGTAAAGATTATTAAATACAAGCATGTGAGAGGTTATAGAGATTTGCGGATGAAAAGAAAATGAGTGCCGAAAAGAAATGTCCTGATGATTCGATGTCTGTAACATTTTTGCCATGCAGTGATACACAAAACCTATCTTTGTGTTAATACTAATATTTTAAAAAGTATTATATATGACTGAATGAAATTTTCAGGCAGAAGTCAAAATAAATAAGGTATTGGTATGTAAAATTTTCTTGATAGCATTTGATTATTAAAGATTTTTAAAGCGTTTGTGACCTTACTTTTGAATCAACCCTCGTATATATGTAATAGTGACAATACAACCCTCATATATGTAATAGTGACAATACAACCCTCGTATATATGTAATAGTGACAATACAACCCTCGTATATGTAATAGTGACAATACAACCCTCGTATATGTAATAGTGACAATACAACCCTCATATATGTAATAGTGACAATACAACCCAACCCTCGTACATGTAATAGTGACAATACAACCCTCATATATGTAATAGTGACAATACAACCCTCATATATGTAATAGTGACAATACAACCCTCGTACGTGTAATAGTGACAATACAACATAAAATATAGCTGTTTAATGTTTACATTTAGCTACACACAGAGCCTGATAAACCAGAGAGAGTGGTAGAGGGATGGAACGCCTGGCATTTTGATGACACTGAGGCTTTAGTATGTTGTTATGGTGATTCTTTGGCAAAATTATTTATTACTTTTTTCGATAAATAAAGTTGAAAAAACTGTTGAAACAGAAATAAAGAAAATATAAAGTAAAAGATATTGTTAGTACAAGTGTATAATGTCAATGTATGACTGTTTACATACAAGTGTATAATGTCAGTGTATAAATGTTTACATACGAGTGTATAATTTCAGTGTATGATTGTTTACATACGAGTGTATAATGTCAGTGTATGACTGTTTACATACGAGTGTATAATGTCAGTGTATAGCTGTTTACATCCAAGTGTATAATGTGAGTGTATGACTGTTTACGTATGAGTGTATAATGTGAGTGTATGACTGTTTACATATAAGTGTGTCATGCCAGTGTATGACTGTTTACATGCGAGTGTATAATGTCAGTGTATGACTGTTTACATGCGAGTGTATAATGTCAGTGTATAACTGTTTATATATGAGTGTATTATGTCAGTGTATAGCCCTTTACATACAAGTGTATTATGTCAGTGTATAGCTCTTCACATACAAGTGTATAATGTCAGTGTATGACTGTTTTCATATGAGTGTAATGTCAGTGTATGACTGTTTACATACAAGTGTATAATGTCAGTGTTTGACTGTTTACATACGAGTGTATAATGTTGGTGTATGACTGTTTACGTACGAGTGTATAATGTCAGTGTATGACTGTTTACGATGTCAGTGTATGACTTTTTATGTATGAGTGTATTATGTCAGTGTATAGCCCTTTACATACAAGTGTATTATGTCAGTGTATAGCTCTTCACATACGAGTGTAGAATGTCAGTGTATGACTGTTTACGATGTCAGTGTATGACTGTTTATGTATGAGTGTATTAAGTCAGTGTATAGCCCTTTACATACAAGTGTATTATGTCAGTGTATAGCTCTTCACATACGAGTGTAGAATGTCAGTGTATGACTGTTTTCATACGAGTGTAATATCAGTGTATGACTGTATACATACGAGTGTATAATGTCAGTGTATGACTATTAACGTGTGAGTGTATAACGTCAGCATATGTCTGTTTACGTACGATTATATAATCTCAGTGTATGACTGTTTACGTATGAGTGTATAATGTCGGTGTATGATTGTTTACGTTCGAGTGTATAACGTCAGTGTATGACTGTTTCAGCCCAGACTGTGGAGCCATTATGGTAAGAACAATGCCAGTGTGGGTGAACTCTGGACGGGCCTGTTCAGATTTTACACAGAAGAATTCAAAATGGATGAATGTGTTGTCTGTATAAGACAACATGAAACTCTTACAAAGTTTGAGAAGTTATGGAATGGTAAATGTATCGCAATAGAAGGTGAGACTTTTATAAAGTGATAAAGTGTAGAGGTATAAGATTATTGATTTCTAGTACTTCATGTAAATGATGAATGTTCACAAAAAGCCTGTGTGATTTACACACCAATAACATAGACAAACTATAAATTATTCCTTTCATCTAGATTTCACATGCATAAAACCAAGGAAATGCACTCACAATTTGAATTTGATGTTGCCCTATTTCACTATATATATCATCATATTTTCATTACCATCTCGGTAGCCTCATTATATCATGCAAGTTTATATGAAAATGGTTTTCAGATCAATTTCATAGTTTTGATTTAGTAAAAAAGAAAAATGCAGCAAATGTAAATATAGTAGAACATCGCATGATATCTTTGTATGATAAAAGATTGCTCTTGAAAATAATGTTTGTTTTTATTTTGTGTTTTATATATTTGTGTGTTGAACAACTTTATTTTAGATCCATTTGATTTAAACCACAATTTGGGCGGAGGCTTGTCTAGAAAAAGTAAGTGTAACAGTTCACTGTTATAAGGATCCACTTATATGGTTGATTATAAACCTCTGAACAATCTCTATTATTATATAAAAAAATCTGGTTCTCCTTTGTCATCTAGTTTCAGCTCTTGATAAAGCATTTCTATCTTTCATCCTGAAATGTTTTTTTTTAATTATTTCGAAAGGAATTCAAGTTCTTTTGCAATTCATAAAAGTAGGCCTTAGAAACTTTTGAAATTTACACTATTAACACATTATGCAATACAATACTCAGAAACACTGGGTGACATAGGGGAAATTATATTTAACTGCATGTTAATTGCATGTTGTTAAGAGTTCTATCATATTAAACAACTGTTCTTTAATTATTTTCAGTGCATCAGTATATAATGAAGGCTTTTGTCCATGGAAGACTGCTTTACTGCAAACCTGTAGACAAAATACCAACTACATTCTCTAGTCCAGCTGTACGAATAAGTATTTTTTAACGAGACACTCAGCTTTTGAACCTTGTAATACAATTGCTTTCAATTTTTAAAAATGAGAATTTTTAATGTTCATTTTAGGATTATTTCTTTGACAAAACCCAGTTGACATCGGGAAGTCCGCCCAATGATAGAGGTTGTAGAGTCTGTAATAAAATTGGACACATCGCAAAAGAATGTCCAGTAGTCCTGAACCGTAAAGAAAGGTAGGTAACCAAAATATACAATTATACAACTGTACTAAAAGTAATTAAGGAAAAAATATACAATAATACAACTCTAATGAAAGTAATTAATCACAAATATTGAAAATGTCTAAATGACATAAACAATTATCAAATTACTGAACTTTTGGTAAACATGAACATGTATATGTATATTTAAAATGTTATATACATGTCTCTACATTTGCCAATATAAATATATTTTGTTAATAACCTTACCAGATTAATATGGGGTTATACATTTGTAACCTCACTGCAGCTTTTGTGACTCTGAACAGCATGCATAACTATCGTATAAAATGTACTATACATTGTATCTGATTCAGAGGGAGGATTAAAGTAACTGTATGGTAAAAATATGAGTGTAACTTAATTTAGTGTGTATGAGGGTTGTCTGGTAAAATCATGGACCATAGTGAAAAATAAATCAATGCTGCATTCTAAAATTTTCATATTCTTTCACTATTCAACATTATTCACCAATATACATAGCAAATTTCAAATAGATATATGCTCAAAAAGACAAAAAATGGTATTTTATGTAATACAGTTAAAATGAATGTTCCACCATATTGGAATGAATAATAAATGGTGAATGTTCCAGTGGATTTGGTAAAGCAAGTGGTGAAAAGTTCAGTGAGACAGCAATTCTCTTTAAATAACAAAATGAGCCATAGATACTATCTCCTCCAACTTCTTCTGAAGACATTTAAATCGTACTTGGATTTCAAAGGGAAAAAATCTCTTCATACACATTATGTGCCACAAACTTAAGGTACACAGACAATGTCAAAGTACCCCTATTTTAACATCATTTTTCATTTGTTTTGAGTTGGATCAACCTACACCAATCCAAGAATTTCACTCTGTAAAGAGGCAAGGGACCCTCTTACACCCCATGGCACCTTCAGAAGTTTTGCAGTATGTAGTGTGCTTTTAATGGTATTCTCACCACAATCAAGCTCGAGAACGGTTTTTAGCTTACCTGAGCCGAAGGCTCAAGTGAGCTTTTCCGATCAAAATTTTCCATTGTCTGTCGCTGTCTGCGTTGTCTTTGTTGTAAAATGCATTGTCCACGATTTTACTTGACAGTCCACAGATTTTTTTGGTGTGTATGAAGATTAGAAATCACATTGGGGATGATAATTTTTGCATAAATAGTTAGCTGCTTCTGCAAATTATCATATGTTCCAATGTCAGTTATATCCTCATATACCCCAAAAATAGTTACTTATAAACAAATGGATACAATTCTCTGGACTTCTTCCTTATAGGTAGTGGAGATATGTTTATTTGTTTTTTGGTCTGGAAATTCAGCAATATGCAAAACTACAGAAATTTTGCTTTTTAAATGCATTAAAGGGAAGAAAAAGAAAGGGAAAGAAGAGCAATGGAAGAAAAAATTGCAGCTAGAAAACTTGAACAGGAGAGAGAATTCTTTAACCAGCAAATGAGGAACAGTCAACAGAGGGAGTATCATCACAATCAGAACAGCCATCAGAGGGAGTATCACCACAATCAGAACAGCCAACAGAGAGAGTATCACCACCACCAGAACAGCCATCAGAGGGAGTATCACCACAACCAGAACAGCCAACAGAGGGAGTATCACCACAACCAGAACAGCCATCAAGGAAATAATTTACCAAGAGGTGAAAAGATGTTTTGGTTGTAGATGGATCAATATGTATAAAAGTACAAATGCCCTGACATTAATGATTATACACTAGTAGAAGTAAACCCACAATAAGTAGAAAAGAAACAATCCACATTTATGAATAGCTTTATCTTGATGTAAACACATTTTTTTTCTTACAGCTTATAGAAGAAGTAACTCGGAGAGTCAGGAGTATGCTCCTCATACCAGACAGTCCTTACAGAATCCATTACTGTCACATCCTCAAATGCAAGGGTATATGTCTCCCCAAATCCACCAAAGGGTACGTAGCATAAATGTTAACCCCCTAATAGATTGTAACTCAATAAGACACATTTTTAGATCATCCACAAGGAAGTTTAAAGGGGTATCCTGGAATCAGGATGTTCATCCATTTGTCTGTAGATGCAAGGTTAAGCACATCATTTAGAATACTTTCTGGCTCACTTATATTAAATGTTAAAAAAATGACATACTTTATATCCTTTTGGAAACATTTTACTAATTTTTCATGGTATTTTAGGACAACAGACCCATCCCTCATAATTCACCCCAGCCTCATCTGTCTCAGGCCTACTCCAGATCCATGGGGGGCATGAAAATTACTGGCCCACCCCCTCAGCAGCTCTATAGGATGCCAGGACACGACCCACAACTGAACATGCCCAGTAACCAAGCTAACAGGATCTCACAGAGGAACCAAGATCCCAGAATGCATCAGTCCAGAAATCATGGTCCTTCAATGCAGGTATCTTCACCTATGAATGATTTGCATGAGCATCCACGGATTCAGGGGCACATGACATGTCATGCAAATAATTCACCTCCAAGAAATCAGAATCCACAGGATGATGATGATTGCCTTGGTGATATTTCTCCCACTAACAAATCCAATTTATTTCATAATCTTCCCACCATGTTTGTTTATCCATTGTATTTTAATCCATATCATCAGGGGACACAACTGTTACAGGGACAATTTCCTGGTTACTGGCAGGTGTTGTCTCCCCGACAGGTAGGGTTAAATCATTTTTACTGCACGCTTGTTACTGACAGATGCTTGTTTTACCCTCTGCCTACTCACCATGACACCAGTTTGATGACTTTGTTTTCTGTTTTGTTTTTGAAGCATGAAACAAAATCCTCTATAAGGAAGTATAATTCACCAGGAAAAGTTTTTAATATGTAAAAAGCATAAAATAAATTTTATAATGTTTTAGTATTAAAATTATAATAACATATACCATTTAGCAAAAAATAACATTTTTAGTTTAAAATATGAAAGAAGAAATTAACACTGCAACCAGTATAAGAGTTCAGATCTGCTGTTTACAAATCCGATGCTTTAAGCCACTGAGCTACCTATCCAGACACTGTATTTTAGAATTGGCCTTTACATCTTCAATTGTGAAGCACTGACATTAAAATAAATCGTGATATGTTATTTCTCCATGAATCTTCTATCACTTAATGCTTTGGATATGAGAAATGATGCTGCTATCATTTTCATTTTTCAAGAAATTTGTTAGTGAATACTGCTTAATTGTCCACTCTATATTTAACTTGAGAATATAAATACTGGTGGATTGTTAAATATAATTACATATTACTTTAAAGCTTAACTAGTGAATATTAAACATCTTCATAACATCATGCCTTTTAAATTGTGCATAGCCTTGAAATCTATTTATGCCCGTATTGATCTGCAAAATTATTGCTCTTTTATGTAATTATCACTGATATACATGTATTCTTGGTTATTTTTAAGATGAGGATTTCAAAATTGAGTTCAAAAATTATATATTTGTTACATAAGATAATATTAAAATTGGATTCAAATAGAAAGTAGAATGGAATTGGTTTGGTAATCAGTTGCACACAAACTGTATACATTTATATTCTCTTTGCCTGCTTGTTTATATGGATTCATTGTTGTATTTTCTGTGCACCTCTTAAAATTACTTGAAATTAATGGCTTGAAGAAAAACTGATATTTGTAAATCATTATCCGATAAAGCAGTACTTCATTTAGTATAGGACATATAAAATTATCTTGTTATTACAAGTAGACGACCCCATCCCTTAAAAACTTTAGACAATGTAATATTTTATTGTTGTATAGAAGATGCTGTGATGCACAACCTGATGTAGCAGTGGCATGGTTACAGAAATTTTTATGCCTATATTCTGGTTTTACATTTTACAAACTCTATGTGCTCTCTATTTTGAATTATTAGAAAAACAATTATGACTTCACATGAGAGATACATGTAAATAAGTGAAACAAGATATTAATACATAGAATCTCTGCTACCAACCACACAATATTTGTTTTTCCATGTTTCACACAATGTCTCGCCATGCGCCGACTACGAGTTTTTACATGATAATACTGCTCCTGTAATCAGTGAGTACTTGATCTTGCTATACTATCATGTATGGCGTCACACGTTTGTGCCTACATTAGCAGAGACTATGATGTTTATAAATTAAGTCACATGATCATGTGTCCTTCAACTCCTAAGAGCAAACTCTGACAAAGATGAGAAATTCTTTAAAGCTCTATGTTTTAAAGCGTTGTTCACTGCCAAAAACGATATTTTTAAAAAATCTAATTAATGCAGAAAATTCAATGTATCATATAGCCTAATGGTAGATTTTAATTTTCTTTGAGCAATGAGTCCGTCCTAAAAAAGGTAAACTAACCAAAGTAATTTGCTGAAGGAGACTTTTATTTAATTAGATAAGACTAAGACTTGACCCAGAAAAAGAACTGTTAAGGGATGTTATTGACTAGGGCCAATAAACAAGGGACAAAAATAGATAAAATATAAAAAAAAAGATATTATTGAAATTCATATTGCTTTCAGAGGGGGTATAATAATATTATGTATCATGACTGGTTAGAGTACAGTGTGCACAAACACAGTACATACATATATTGATTTATGCACAGTTTTCACTGAGCGAATGAAAATGTATACATGCTGTTTCCTATTTGAACAACTGGTTTGCTTTGTTCTAAGCAATTTTAAAATCAAATATAACAGATTGCTTGATCAATTCTTTTAGATGTGAAGTGCAATATATAATAGAAGGAATTATTTTGATATCTTACTATTAGGAAATTTTATTCATGTTTCATTCCTTGAATCTGTGTTCCAGTATCACTTAAAATGTGGGAAAATTAAGCTTATGGTAAAACAGAACAATCTCTAAGTCTGCAAATATATTTAGCTCACCTGAGTCAAAGGCTTTAGTGAGCTTTTCTGATTGAAAGGTGTCAGGTGTCTGTCTAATGTAAACTTTTAGCTCACCTTAGCCAAAGGCCCTAGTTAGAATAATCTAACTGTGTCTTGGGACAAGCCCTCACCACAGTTAAAATACGTCTCATATATTTGCAATGTAGCAAATCAAAGCGGATCCGCTCCGAAATGATTTTGAAGTATACAAAAGGAGTTGCACTGAAAATAACTACCAAATTAATCATAACAAACCTTTTTGAGATTGTATGTGATGAAAATTCAACTCATTTTCTCAACATTTTTTTCTCCCTTCAAATTTACATGCCATGTTGACATTCTGAACTCTCTGAATTGATCTTAGTAAATGCACTGAGTTCGAGTTATCGCCCGTGTTTATTTTGCTACAATGCCAATACACGGAATGAATTCTATCGTTAAACTGGGTCCGTAAGACAATATCATCTTAACGATAGAACATTCTATCTACAAAGGCCCAAGTGAGCTTATCTGATTGAAACTTGCCCATTATCTGTTGTTGTCATAAACTTTCACATTTTCATCTTCTTCTCCAGAACCACTGGGCCAATTTCAATCAAACTTGGCACAGAGTATCTTTAGGTAAAGGGGATTCAATTTTTTTCAAGTGAAGGGCCACGCCATCCTCCAACTGACCAAAGGGAGAAAATTAAGGAATTGTAAAAATTGAATGGGATCGTTTTGAAAATCTTCTTTTCAAGAACCACTGGACCATAAAAGATGAAACTTGTGTGAAAGCTTCCTGAGTCCTGACATAGTGTAGATTGAAGTTTGTTCAAATCATGACCCCCAGGTTAGGATGGGGCCATTATGGGCAATCAAGGTTTTACATTGGAATATATAGGAAAATATATAATAGGAAAAATCTCAAAACATCTTCTAGTCAAGAAGAACAAAGCCATGAACAGTCATATTTATATGGAAGCATCCCAAGGTAGTTTAGATGCAGATTTATTCAAATCATGAACCCTGGGGGCAGGGAGGGGCCACAATGGATAGTCAAAGTTTTACATATTTTGATAAAGAGCTGAAAACAGCAGGGCCATGGTTACTAGGTGAGCAGGTGACCTCTTATTCATACTGTAGCCACGGAAATTAGTAATACACTGTCATTCATTTTAAATCATGAATTTTTCATTGAACCATACAAGAATGTTCTGTCAGTATAATTTGTTCTTGTATAGCTTGTCCTGAACGTGGTACCTTTGTGTTATCTTGTAGGTCTCAAGTCAAGGATTAGAACAAGGTCGAATAGTCAATCCCAGTAATCAGCTCAACTTTGGTGAGTGTTTATTTGACAGTTACAAAGTTAAGCAAATTTTTTTGTTTTGTTTTGATGACTAGCAATAAAATTTTTGATGTGGGGCATTTTTTTTTAATGTAAAACAAATTGATTTTAGAGTTTTAAGCTCACCTTGGTGTCCATTTGTCTGTACTTCTTTTCACATGTTCTACTTCTTCTTAAGAACAACTTGGCCAATTTTAATCAAGCTTGCCACGAAGCATCCTTGGGTTAAGGGGATTCAAGTTTATACAATTAAAGGGCCACACTCTCCTTCAAAGAGAGATTAAGAATAAGTCAAAATTTAACAACATATTTATTATATAGGGATAAATGCAGCTAAAGTACAGTAGGGTCATAGTGACTCAGGTAGACATTGTGGTCCATGGGCCTCTTGTTATAGGAAAAAATATTTTGACATTTTTTAGTTTCAATCATATATTCATAATTATATATATAAATACATATATATTATACATAATTATATATATATATTTACATATATATGTATATATAGGTACAATTTAAGAATTTGTCACTACATGTAATAATGAAATTAAAAAAAGCCAACTCCACTAGGTTCACATAACCAAGAAAGGTAACTCCTGCTGCTATCTTCTAACTTTTAGACTGCTGTGATATATATAGTAAGAGACGACCAGTGCAGCAGGTTATTCATACACCATAGAATTAAATAATTCAATGATGACAAAATAAGGGATGCATGGTTTTATCTGTATACTGGTATATCAGGATTTTATTGCGCAATACTTATCATGATACGGAGACTTGAATACCTATATTTAATACATGATTGTAAATACAGGAAATGATTAATTTTATTTTCAAATTTTTAATTAAAATTACTGGAAGTGTAAAAAAAAATGTTGTTAAACAGTTAAAAAAGGACATCCTAGCATCCTAACAAGCTTATCAATATAATATTAAGAATGAAAAAAGTAGTTATTTTTTCACACCATTTCATAAGAAAAATTATGGAAATTCATTTAAAATCATAGTAAAAATTGCATTAAAAAATATCATGATATAATTGCGATATTTAAAAAAAAAAAAGGCAAGATATATCATGATACAAAATTTTCGGCGATACTCATCCCTAGACAAAATATTGGCAGGAATACTGTTTTCATTTGGATTAAGAATGTATAGTCAGACAAATTTGGAATGTTTTGATATTCAGAGCACTCGGAGCTTAGTAGAGCCAGAAGTTCAAGCAATCAGATTGTTCATTTTTTGACTCTCTTTTCTCGTAACTTTTCATTTCTTCTCCAGAACAACAAACCGCTTTTAACTGCACATGATATCTAAGGGTGAAGAAATTCAGATATAAATTTATCTAAGACCTTGTCCTTTGCAAAAGAGAGATGATAATAGATATGAAAGTTAAAGTATGATGGATACCATGCAATTTTGTTCTTGCATGAAATTAAAGAAATGTTATGTGTTCATTTTATTTGTCCATTTTCAGCTATGTAGCTACCAGGTATTCAATACAGGTTTGAATATGTAAAAGAAGGCTCTATTTTGAAATGAATAAAAAAAATTACCATATTTCATTACATCACTGTGGTATTTCACTTTCAGGCGTCACTGTTCCAAATGAATATTACAGGGGAGGTAACATAGAACAGCAGAGATTCGGTAATTCCCAGTATCGGGGGCAGCTTAATCGACCATCACCCAGGAAGTGAACAAATTGTGTATTAGGCTGTTAACTTTATAAATATTTTCGGACTGACTTAGTAATTTTACACTTAACTTTGATTCATCATTTAACCCAAATGGACATTTAGTGTTTTATAGATAAGATAAAATGTCTCTATTTTACAATGAAATAAAAAAAAAAAGAATCATTAGAATTAATAACACTGTTGCTCTCATTTTTTTTTTGTAAACTTAAGCATACAATAATTGTACGGGAAATTGATGGGGATGACTTAATTAAATAGTTGAGTAGCTTGAGTCTTAATGAATTTAATTAACTGGAAGACACAACAGTTAAGGCAGACTTGAGTTCCTTAATATATATTTTGCTTCAGCTGTGTTATGAGATTTAAATATTCAGCACATATTTTGTTCTTCTGTATTCAGATTTTTTTTTTTTGATATGAACATTTGTCATTGAAATTAAAAAAAAGTCCTTAACACTATAGGGAAAAAGAAGTTGTGAATAGTGAACATTTTGAGAACCCTAATCTTCTGTTTGATTCTCTACTCAAGGCTGTTATTATCTGTGTTCATTCTTTCAGTCTTTGGTTTTATGTTTAAAAGTTGAAAGTATCAAACAAAATTCAGTTTGTCATTAAAACAAATTTACTTTGTCAAATACGATTTGGTAGCATGTAATGTAAATACAGTGTTTTATACAAAATTCCCAAGTCCTTACTCAGAAAATGCCCAGACGCTCAAACATCTTAAGTTGTGTATTTTATAGTCCCGACAAATCTTGAACTCAGTAGTCAGAAGATCTGGTTGTTTGAAATCCAATTTTTAAAAAGTTCTTAAACATATTTCGTCCTACCTTATTGTACAATTTTTTTTTTAAATCATGTGTCTCCCAGAATATACTAGTTGTGAAATTAAATTCAGAATTGGAAGGAATTTTGGCACAAAGCAAGGTCTTAAACGTTTCTTTTATTATAAAAGAAAAAAAGGTAAAAATTTAATTTTTAAAAGCCATATTCTTGAAGATAGCTCTAAAACTTTTACTTAACGTTGGAGTTTTAATGATTTATGCTTCTCTTTTGTGATGTAGACATGTCGTCATCAGGTCACATGGCGTAGCTGTCAATCATTCCGTTTCCAAATTGGAGCCTCCTTTGTGCAGTCTTAAGAATATAATCATTTTCCATAATATTGAGTGACTTTTTAATCTTGGCGGAGGATTAGAGAGCGTTATGTGTTAAAAGTTTCAACTAATCCACAAGCAGACATAAGCCCTTTCCCTCCTCTAAACACTTGTATTTAAATTAAGTTCATTAATTAAATGGTACATGTCGTTGGATTCGTCGCCATTGCAGGTGCAGTCATAAAAGATGACTTTATAAAAGAACTACAAAATTTTCAAGCATATAAATTATAGTCAAATATATAAAAATCACAAATTGAGAAAATAAGATGAGATTTTACGAGGAATAGATTAATGAACCCGTGCATGACACAAATAAAGGACGGATAATGTTATAAATAGATACCGGGGAAACCTATTTTTCTTTTAATCATTAATCATCTCTATTTTATGTAGAATATGTGTAAGTATATTAATAAAAATATGTTTGTGCACAGAAACTCGGCCTGTTACACACCGTATCTATGCACTTAGACGGGTATTCACTTTGATGTTTGAAGAATCCATTATGAATCTTTTGTTTGCGCGGTTGTATGGAAGTTCAGAATTCCAGAGCGTCGAGGCTTTGGACATGGTCACGATATTCATTTTTTTTTCTTCCGATGACAAAAAGGGATGTGTTATACGTGAATTTAAATCTTCGACGACCCCATCGTTATCAACAATGTCCCGTTTATTCCAATTGATTTGTTTAAAAGCATTGTAAATTTCCTCAAACAAAAACTATTCATAAGTTATATGTGATCAATGCTATGACGTTGATTTTAGCTATGATAAAGAAAAGATTCAGCGTGATATAGTAGTTTTCTTTTTTTCGTTATTTTATTTATTGCAGGAGTAAAACAAATAATATAATATAGATTTTTCTCTCTGTTATTCAGAAAGATTCAATCAGGTAATATGGAAGGCTTGCATTTTGTCAGATCGATGAAGTGGACCAAATTTTTACAAGAAGAAAAAAACTGTTTAAAAGCTTAAAGCTGGAGAACCTGTCAACTCAAAGATTTCAATAGCTTTCAATTTCAATTAACATCTCACATAAGAATTTATGGGTCTCCAACAAATCCGACACACCAATAGGAAGTAAATAGACACAACTCAATTATATAGGCATTTTCAACAACACACTATTTCTGTTAAAACCTTTGACAACAGGCTTACGGGGTGCCTGGAATTGAGGATTATCATTTCACAGTACATGTTATATACAGTCATACAGTCCGTCCATCCAATACACAGGCGACACAGCACATTATTTCAAGTGCTCGTTAATAGTTGTCATTGTAAAATAACACACATTATGGCCGCTAAATTAATCACATTGTTCAATTCGTTGATATTCTTTCACAGAGCACCATCGTTAGTCCATGTACATCGCATAAACAAGTCCTACTGCGTACAGAGAGGCGTTTTTGAATGTATATTCTGAAAAATTATCCGTACCTTGGTTCCAGATGCAGCGACTAGTAAATGCAATGGAGGGATGGGTCTCATTTTGTCCAATAGCTACTACTACCACGATCTTATACCGAGGAAATCCGAGAATCTTCACAGAGTGTTTGATTTTCTCCGATAATGTTGTAGTTAAACTTATGCATTTCTCTTTGTCATATATCATGGTACCAAGGTCACGTTCAAAAATATCCTTGATAGTGTCGCGAACTTCAGCACTCCTGAATTTGACGTCAGGTTCCGTTTTATACGTATTTTCGTAACGAACGTTTGGTCGATGCGTATGTGCTGATGTCATAATCATCGTGGACCGGCCTGTGGTCGATTCCACAATGGACTGTTTCCGGTCCTGAGAGGGTCTTCTGGCGTGGTCCATCATCATAATTGATGGTCGACGACCGGCCGCACCGTGTTGCGGATCAAAAGACGCTTTTCTTGTGTCTGGCGGAATAACGGATGGTCGTCTAGCGTCCGGCGGGATCATAGACTGTTTACGGGCTGCCGCATCTGGCATCAGTGACTGCTTTCGTCCAAGAGGTCCACCCTCTTTCTTGGCAACACTTGTACTCATATCGATTTTTAAATTCCCTTAAACCAACGTATGTCCCGTATCCGATCAATGATTATTTAAACCACTCTTAATAATTATTACAATGATTATTCTTTAAGTAGAAGACAAGGATAGTGTACTAAAACCTCCTGGTCGGTGGCAAATCACCTGTTCGTGTAGATCCTCACAAATCGTAACGTGCACTATATATTGCAAGTCCTGCTACTGGTAACAATTTAACATTTGAACATCTGACACTTTGCGATCCCTCAGACATTTAAACTCCGATCTGATTTGTCACTAGTTACCAGGAGCTACAGTACCAATGCACCGCTTTTGACGGATGCGCGATGAATGCGTTTGGTCGTATTGTACCATTCCTAGCGCAATAAAAGACAATGTCATTGAGTCTAAACAAGTTCTTCTCATAAGGTATTCATGTAGAAACGATTTGCATTGTCTTTGATCGAGTTAAAATAACATCCACCGATTTATACCAGATCTTTATTGTGAATTCTTTACGATTGACTAGATTTAAACATCATAGAAAAGAATATTGCAATGAACCAAAAAAACTTCGAGTATAATTTAAATTTCTTTATTTAATTGTTAACCACATTTGTTTACTTTTAATTGAAATTGTAATTACTTATTTAGGAGAGAGAGAGAGAGAGAGAGAGAGAGAGAGAGAGAGAGAGTATTTATTCGTGATTTAATTCATAAAAGAACGGTTGCTATTTAGAGACACTTCAAAACATGGATTTAGTGCGAACGGCAAAAGATCGATGGTTTTAACTGAATAGATATAAATTAGGGCTACTTCATTTAATGGAGTAACTTGAAACGAAAATTAACTAGACTCTAATATTCTTTTAGTTCTGCGATGGCTTAAAGTCATTAGAGGGGCATTTGTTTGATCTTTAGGATATATTATGCTTGGCTTTTTCAGAGTTTTTCTTAGCCTTTAAATGTCCTTCTTGTTTTGGCGATTAGATTAAGATAACAGTTTGGCGGAGTTAACCATGTGTATATTCAGGTGTTAAGATAAATTACTGTCTCTTCATCTTATTAGATTTAAAATCCTCGATTAGAATTATTATGGACGGTACATATTTTTAAGTATTTTGTGATAATTGGTAGAATCCAGGCATTAAGGCTGTATTTCACTTTTTAAAAATCCGTAGCTCTGTTGGATATGTGATACTTAAAATGTTAGATTGTTTCATTCGCAAACCTTTAGTGTTTTTGAATTTACAATATAATATAAAGAAAAGACAAGAGAAAGGTTGCACTTACTTAGTAAATACGTGTCACGTTTGTTTTTTGATTTTTCTTTTCTCACGCATTCTAAATGGTAGCGTAAGGGCCGGTACACACGGTAAGGCTTGCCTTATAAGTCATGGAACTTAAGTTCTAGCCTTACCGTGTGTACACCCTTAATAAACGTTTTTTCAAGCCTTGCAAGTCTGACTTACGAATAGAGCACTGCTCTATTTCTTAATACAAGACTTAGCTGACATGTTCCTCTCAACCAATGAAATCCACTCACCCAAATTTCAATCTATTTTTATCAAACACTGGGTAGATTGAAGGGAACATAAGTATATTCGAATAAGATAATGAAAATATCCGCAAATGCTTTTGTTCAACGTCCTCTTTTTTCAGAAGTGTGAATGCACTGGTCTGTAAAATTATTTCAAAGTCCTAGCTAGTAATCTATACTTCTATTTTAATGATATGCACTGTTTACGGCTCAAAAAAACCTGGGATTTATGGAAATGTTGTTTATAATCTTGTAAGTCTTGCCTTAGCGTGTGGACGCCAGAGATGTACGTCCTGCAAAACGAAAGGTTTTAGACTTATAAGGCAAGCCTTACCGTGTCTACCGGCCCTAAAATGTACCAAAAACTACCGGAAGTACATGTCATCCTTGTTCTCTCTGCGAGTCCTCTTTATATTTGATATATTTTTTATATTTGAATTATTTAAAGGGCCATAACTTATTGTTGAGCCGAGGATGTTTTTCTTAATAAAAAGTAAACGAAGGACGGACAGTTCTTTCTTAATGTACAATGGGTATTTAATATACAGGAAATATTTAATGAAAAATACCTGAATACTAAGCATGAATTTTGCAAAAGTAGTCGACACATAGGAATGATTTGACATTTTTATCTATCGATTCCAATTCCCACTTCTAGTCGTTACGTCTTTAAAATTCAAATCCACTCATTTATCACGCAGTATGCAGCGACGCCCCGGTATGCACCCCTCTTAAGCCAAGCCATCAAAATCCCCACCATGACAAGAAAGATCGTCTGGGAATGCTTAATGTCAAATTTTAATTCTACACAAAATACGCATGCATAATTTATGACATTTAATTTAAGTCAGTGTTTTATTTTCCGATTCGTTCGAGAAACCTGTTTTTTCCCTTTGCATTATACCGACGTGGGAGATGATACAAGTTTTTTTTTCATTTACAGGAAACAGTGGCATTCTGATAGAACTCGGATTGTCCTTTTTGGTCTAATTTCCACGAGAAATTGATTTTCCTGCTTATAGTCGACACCTGATGCATATCAAAATGAATCTAACTAGATCTTAATCGTTCTATGTTTCTGATTCTCTGCCTATATCTAACAGATTGCCAAAATTATGTTCAAGTGCCCCATTTATAAATGTACTCGTCTAAATCGATTGTTTTGATAAAGCTTACATATCTATTACATTTGAAATACATCTACTTAAAACACGAGTGCAACAGCTGTGTGGAGTATTTGTAGCGGTTAATCCAAAGGTTGCAGCTCATAGAAGATCGTTGATGTCTGGAAGAAGTGAAAGACACATGTTAACTTCAACTCTATAGCATTCAGTGGTCTAATTAATGCGGGAGTCTAAGAATGAGCACAGTTGTTTTTTTTTTATAATAGTAAATACTGATATAGATCACGAGCCACCAGTAGACAAGATCTGCCTCTGCACGCAACCAGTGGTCAAACTCCGCCTCTGCACGCAACCAGTGGTCTAGTTGCGCCTCCGAACAACCAGTGGTCTAGTTTCATCACCGCACAGCCAGTGGTCTAGTTTTGTCTCCGCACAGCCAGTGGTCTAGTTTTGTATCCACACAGCCAGTGGTCTAGTTTTGTCTCCGCACAACCAGTGGTCTAGTTTCGTCTCCGCACAGTCAGTGGTTTAGTTTCGCCTCCGCACAGCCAGTGGTCTAGTTTTGTCTCCGCACAACCAGTGGTCTAGTTTTGTCTCCGCACAACCAGTGGTCTAGTTTCGTCTCCGCACAGTCAGTGGTCTAGTTTCGCCTCCGCACAGCCAGTTGTCTCGTTCTGCCTCCTCACAACCAATGGTCTAGTTTTGTCTCCTCACAGTCAGTGGTCTAGTTCCACAATTGCACGCCACTAATGGGTTAGTTCCACCTACAAGTACGAAGAGAAGCAGAGGAACGGGACGTATCCGAACGTTGACACTTTATGTAGCAGCTAGAATTGTTTAAACATTTGGCAAGCTGGTTTACTGACAAAACACCTGTGATTAAAAGAGATTGATCTATTCGTATAAAGAGATATTTCTCAAAAAAGAGAGATAATTCATTAGGTCTAAGAGACATCTTTTCCCCACAAGAATTTTTTTTTCCATCAGAGATATCCCTTTTACAGAAAGAAATCACTTTTCCCTTAATTAAGAAATATCCATTTTCTCATACGAAATATCTCTTTTTAACCATTAAGGTCAGACGACACGTTCCTCAATAATATATAATTTTCCCCTAGAATTTGTCATTGAAGTACTGCTACTTTACAACTTCTTCACAAAAATTGAGGTACCTTACCAGGCATTTGTGCAAGATACCAGAGGGTGGTGTTTCCTAAATAATCATATTTGAAATCATTTGAATTGTCAATATCACTATTTTTATGTACATTATTTCCTAAGACATTTTAAAAACAGTTTAGAAATCACAAGATAATGTTAATATTATGAATATTTCTTATATTACAAGGAAAAGCAAAACAGAAATTTGAGGAACGCGTGTCGTCAGACCTTAAATACTTTCAGATATCTCTTTCATGATAAGATATACATCCCTCCATGAATCCTAAAATGAGATACCGTTTTTTTAAAGCGATATCGCTGTGTCGAAAAGAAAAATTTCTTTTGACGAATGTGCTCTTGAAAACGCTTCATGCATCCGTCGTTAACAAGTCGTATAAATGAACAATTGGACAGTGAAATTCATTGTACTGATGAAACAAACATACACACACCCTCACACATGACTCTATGCTTGCCCTATTCTTATTATTTGTATTTATGGGATTTATGAGATCGATCCCAGGACTCTATGCTTGCCCTATTCTTATTATTTGTATTTATAGGATTTATGAGATCGATCACAGGACTCTATGCTTGCCCTATTCTTATTATTTGTATTTATGGGATTTATGAGATCGATCACAGGACTCTATGCTTGCCCTATTCTTATCATTTGTATTTATGGGATTTATGAGATCGATCCCAGGACTCTATGCTTGCCCTATTCTTATTATTTGTATTTATGGGATTTATGAGATCGATCCCAGGACTCTATGCTTGCCCTATTCTTATTATTTGTATTTATAGGATTTATGAGATCGATCACATGACTTTATGCTTGCCCTATTCTTATTATTTGTATTTATGGGATTTATGAGATCGATCCCAGGACTCTATGCTTGCCCTATTCTTATTATTTGTATTTATAGGATTTATGAGATCGATCACATGACTCTATGCTTGCCCTATTCTTTTTATTTGTATTTATAGGATTTATGAGATCGATCACATGACTCTATGCTTGCCCTATTCTTATTATTTGTATTTATAGGATTTATGAGATCGATCCCATGGCTCTATGCTTGCCCTATTCTTATTATTTGTATTAATGGGATTTATGAGATCGATCACAGGACTCTATGCTTGTCCTATTCTTATTATTTGTATTAATGGGATTTATGAGATCGATCCCATGACTCTATGCTTGCCCTATTCTTATTATTTGTATTTATGGGATTTATGAGATCGATCCCAGGACTCTATGCTTGCCCTATTCTTATTATTTGTATTTATGGGATTTATGAGATCGATCCCAGGACTCTATGCTTGCCCTATTCTTATTATTTGTATTTATAGGATTTATGAGATCGATCACAGGACTCTATGCTTGCCCTATTCTTATTATTTGTATTTATGGGATTTATGAGATCGATCCCAGGACTCT